CCTAAGTGCTGAGACTTGAAACCTACATCACCATGCCCAGATGTTGGAAACCAACTTTGGGCTCTGCATATGACATGGGACATGGAAGAAGAGGTGGCTGGCTCACTGAAGCATCTTCCCTGGAAGCAGGGGAGGGAGGGTATCACAGCAGGATGTCACCCATTGTTCTAAGTTCCTATCCTTCCAGAGTGGGCAATCTGTGCAAGGCGACACCTACCAGCAGCACTGACCATGATCAACACCACGCGTGCAGGAAGTGGACTCTGGCTTCAGTTCAGGTCCACAAGGAGATGTGCGTGATTCTTCTGGAACAGGCAGTCAGATGCCAAGGGAGCAAGTACAGGCTTTGAAGCTGGACAGACCTGGATTCGATGTCTTGGGCAGGCATACCCTGTGTGATCATGAATCCTGATCTGGATGAACCTGGCTCTCTTGTGGTGGCCCACAAAGGCTCCCTAGTAAGGCCTTACTCAGAGTCAGAGGATCCGAGCTTGCTTTACCCAGCTGGGCTGCATAATAGAATGATTTGGCCAGGAGCGTGGTTACCAGGTGTTTGGAAGGGTCTACACTTGGCTGTATGTTGTGCTTTGATCTTGAAAGGGGGAGGTCTTTTGCCTCTCCCCTTGGCAATGTATAAAAAGCCATTAGACTAAAACTCTGGGCAGCTGGGTGTTGATCCAGGGCCCTCCCTAAGCTATTCTGTGTCTCTGTCTTTCTTGTCATTTCTGCCTATATTTCTATCTAATACTTCCTCATTCCTCTCTCCTCCCCTGCAAGAACCCTTTGACAGGTTGGAGCTGGACTCCGACACTCTCCTGACTGTAAAACCGTGAGAAGTGCTCAGACATCAAAGGGCTTCTGAGTGCTAAAAGGAAGCTGGTAACGGGCAGAGAATGCATCAGGAGAGCAGCTTCCCATTGCCTGGGCAGGGAGAGACCTGCCGGGCTGGGGTGCAGGGCCAGAGTGTGGGGGCGGGGCGTAGCTCAATGTAGAGAGCTTGCATAGCAGATGTGGATGCCCCAGTACCACAACCAGAGCCAAACTGAAATACACTGTGTGACCTCACCCATCCTAGCCATGAGAAAATGGAGAGCCTATGATGTCTGTGGACAGGTCGCTCTCTGTAGAAGCCAGGGAGTGTGTGTGTGTGTGTGTGTGTGTGTGTGTGTGTGTGTGTGTGTGTGTGTGAATGTTTCACTGACATTGGGGTCTCCCTACCTGGAGGTACTTCAGGGCACACTGTTTTGAAGCAGCTCAGGGTTGATCTGTTTCTAATGCCCAGATGGTGCTGGCCACACAGTTGGTGCTCAATAAAAGGAAGATTAGAGGTTAGGGCTATGTAAGCAGTAGGTCCCCAAGGGAGGGATGGATGCTCCGGGGCCCCTATCTTGAGGTTTGGGCTATTGGAGGGAGCAATGATCATGCACAGAGCCCCAACCGTGCACAGTACTGTGGCATGGAGACCCTGCAGCTTTGGATCTGCAGGCCTGGCTCTAATGCTACAGGTTTGCAGGAAGGGTAGGATGGTGAGAGTGTGCCGGTCTGGACATGCAGCTCAGTGGTAGAGCGCCTGCCACACAAGTACATGCCCATGGCCCAGGTTTGAGCCTCAGCAGCAGAAAGAAAAAAAAAAAGCTGTCTGGTGGAGTCCTGACTTGGACAACACAAGGCATGTTGAAGTCACCACTTAATTGTGTACCTGCCATGATCATCATCATGGATTTTATGTTGTGAGTTTTAAAGGGAGTTAAGTGAAAGGGGAGTTTTCCAGCAGGAAATGATGAATAGAAGGGGAGGGGCAGCAGCTTAGGCACAACACTGTTTCCAAGAGGTGCTGATGAAATGCTAGGCGGGGTAGAGTCAGAGCGGAGCTGCAGGCACTTCCTAAAGACTCTAGCCAAGGATGGTTGCCAGCGGCAGTAGTCATGATTTGCTTTATCAGGAATCAAGATGATCTGAATGATTTTGCCAAATAGAGACCAAGGTGAGGTCAGCTCAAGGGGAGCTGGGGTTCCACTCACAGCCTTTTCTGTAGTGTGACCATCTTGGGGAGGTTACAGAAAGGCACAAAACTGCAGTCCTGGCAGGTGGCCCACACCTCTCGCCTCTATTCTCACTGCCAAGGCAATGTCCTGCAGAAACTGGGAGGTGGAGGCTCCTGTATATGAGGCTTGGGCATTGTGTTCAGATTGGCTTTCTCCCAAATGGTATTCAAGGCCAAGGTTGGATACCAACTGTGGTAGTTGGAATGAGAATGACCCCACAGACTCAGGCATTTAAACACTTTTTAATCACAGAAACAGTAAAGTACCTAATAAATCTAATGCCCCCAGCAGGGCTCAATTCTTCTCTTTTTTTCTTTTTTGGTTTTTCGAGACAGGGTTTCTCTGTGTAGTTTTTTGGTTCCTGTCCTGGATCTCGCTCTGTAGACCAGGCTGGCCTCGAACTTGAAGAAATCTGCCTGGCTCTGCCTCCTGAGTGCTGGGATTAAAGGCATGCACCACCACTGCCCAGCTTGCTCAATTCTTCTTTTGGGAGGAGTTCTAGACATCATGTAGACAGATCATTGTCTTAGTTAGCTTCAGCTGTCAACTTGACACAGCCTAGAGTCATTTGGGAGAGTCTCAGTTAATGGATTACCCAGATCAGATTGGCTTGTGGCTCTGTCAGTGAGAGAGTCTTTAGACTGATGATTGATGTGGGCAGCCCCATCCCTGGAGATGGTCCTAGGCTGTATGGTGGTGGCGCACGCCTTTAATCCCAGCACTCGGGAGGCAGAGCCAGGCGGATCTCTGTGAGTTCGAGGCCAGCCTGGTCTCCAAAGCGAGTTCCAGGAAAGGCGCAAAGCTACACAGAGAAACCCTGTCTCGAAAAACCAAAAAAAAAAAAAAAAAAAAAGAAAGCTGGCTAAGTAAGGGGCAGTGAGCCAGCCAGCTAGCAGCATTGCTCCATGGTCTCTGCTTTAGTTCCTGCCCTGACGTCCCTCAATGATGGACTGCGACCTGGAAGTGTAAGTCATATATCATCCCCACCTTGCTATGGGTCACAGTATTTGCTACAGCAACAGAATGAAACTAGAATAGCCATCCCTGGGGAATTCAGGCATGTGGATTTTGCCCTCTTGAACTCAGTAGCGTTGATTCTCCATAGGAGATCTGCACAAGATCGTGCCCATTAACATCTGCCATGGAGGGTGAGGTGCTCACTAAGTTCCCCTTCCCTGGGGCTATGCAGCCATTGCTGGTGATCAGAGCCATTTTATTCAGTGGCTTAACCACTCACAGGTTGCCCATGCTCTGTATTAATCTCATTGGATCACCTAGTTAGACTTGAGTGGGATTGTTCTGGTTTCTTAGTGCTTTATCTGAGGTCAGCAGCAATTCATCTCTCTGGGAAAATTGCACACAGGTGTGAATAAAGCAATGCGGTGGTTTGAATAGGAATGGCCCCCATAGACTCATACATTTGAATGCTTAGTCACCAGGGACTGGCACTGTTTGAGAAGGATTAGGGGGTATGGCCTTGTTGGAGGAAGTGTGTCACTGAGGGTGGGCTTTGAGATTGCAAAAGCCCATGGCAGGCCCAGGCAGTCTCTCTATCCCTCCCTCCCCTCCCCTTCATGAAGATCAGGATGTAAAACTCTCGGCTCCTGCTCCAGTACCATGCACGCCACCATGCTCCCACCATGATGATCATGGACTAAGCCTCTGAAACTGTAAGCAAGCCCCCAATTAAATGTTTTCCTTTATAAGAGTTGCCTGAGTCATGGTGTCTCTCCACAGCAGCAGAACATCAACTAAACAAATAAGAACACAAATATGTTAACTATTTACCCAGTTTATTGTATTTTTACAGTAAAAATAAATTAGTTGTACACAAAATAGTGCTGAAAACAGCCCATATTTGCTCATATAATTCACCTTCTGCTCGCCTCCTCCTTCTATAATAATTTAACACTGTAAAGGAGACACGGATTGATGTTGTCCTTGGTGGGCTTCTCACTCCCGGCTCTGCAGTTCACGGGTCAGCCTCGAGGCCCTGGCCCCAGCAGCCCCCAACAAGGACCCTGGAGTTGTCATCAGAGCTGAGATGCTGCCACATGTCCCCAAGCTTCTGCCAACCCCCTCAGCCCGAGTCGTCCACAGCTCTGACCTCCTGGGCACCGGGGCTGGTGAAGCTAACAGCTGGCCGGCCACACTGAGAAGGGATGAGAAACACAGCCACCTGCCCTTCTCCAAGTGCCTGGGTGTGAGGAGAGGGCGGAGTATATGAGGAAATAGAGTATTTAAGACAGAAAGGTGGCAGTCTTAGTCAGGCACAATATGGGGGGGGACCCCTGAATATGTCAAAAGTAGAGTCAGTTATATTTCATCTTAAACCCCCAAAAGTTTGGCCAATCACTGTACTAAACAACTTAGAATAAGACACCATGGTGCAGCAACATACCAGGAAGCCGAGTTAGTATGATCAAATGATTTTATGAAAACGTAGATGGCCATATGTAAATAAATACCTATTCGGTCCCTTTAACAATGAACATACTCTAAATAAACAGAACTATTTTGGTGTCGCGCAATCCACTCTGCAGATATAGTTCCGAATACACATTTCCTATAAACATCTTGTATTTACAGAGAACATAATAATAAGTTATAGCAAAGTATATCCTTCTGTCGGGTGGATATTGGGGGGCTGGGGGGCAGGAAAGGGGGAGTTAGTGGGTGTAACAGAATGGATTTTTCTCTCACTGAGACCGGGGGCTCATCATCTCAAGGGGCGGGGAGTTTCCGAACTCTAGGGGCCACTTTCCAGAGCACCATGGGTATTCCCATCAGAACAAGGATTCAGGAAAATAAAGGATGGTTTGGGGTTGAGGGTTACTCTTTGTCAGCAAGGTGTCCTTACAAAAGAGATTGGAGGTGAGTGTCCCAGGCTAGTCAAGGCTGCCTCCAAGGATGTGTATGGCCCTAGGCAGGCAGTTAGCTACCCCCATGTCTGTGTGTTTTTTTTTTTTTTGTGAAGCACACATATGGAGACAGCTCTGACCAGGCTGCCAGTGGCTGCGATATGAGGCCACATGCTACTCACAGGAAGGGGCACTGATGGGTTTCAAATGGTGACAAGGTGGCAGCGGTTAAGAACAAGATGAAGGAGAGCAGTCACTGGCCGCCTCTAAGCAGATGTACCACTCAGAGCTGTGTCACGTGGAGAGCCACAGAATCCTGGACTTAGAGATGACCTTGAACAGCATGTTGCCAAGAAAGATATCCAGATCCCGTCCCACATTCTGACATACCCATCCCGTCTCCACTGCCACCTCTAAGGAGAGGCTACCGTCTCCAGCATCCCTGCACCCACAGACGGTTCTAGCTGGCAGAAGTTTGTTATTCTGTTTCACTGAGGGTTCTCAGGGAGTCTCGTCTGCAAATGTCACACCTCAGAAGTCCCCCGCACTGTGTCTAACAGGTCTGTCCTCTTTATCAGGGTTGGAAAACCCCACCTGAACGTGACACATGAGCAGTAGTCTTCCTAAAGACACACGTATCTTGACTCCCGCCCATGTTTTCTCTGTGGCCTTGGTGGCTTGTGGAATGGCTTCTACACGGACACACATGTGTGCGTGCGTGGTGGTCAGAGGACGGCACCAAGGGTTGTTCTTCAGGTGACATCCACAATGCTTTCTCTGAGACACCGTCTCCCACTGGCCTGGAACTTGCCAAGTAGGTTGGGCTGGCCACCTAGTGAGCCCCAGGGATCCACCCGGCTGCGCCTCTCCCATGCTGGGATCACAAGTGAGTGGCGCCACATCCGGCATTTTGCATGTGGGTTCTGAGCCTTGGATGTTGCCGCTGAGGCACGATGCTTACAGAGCAGACTCACTAGTCCAGGGGCCATTTATATTTTGGCGCTTCCTCCCCACTTTCTTGACTCACTTTGAACTTAGCTGAAATTCTTCCCTTTCAACTACCCAGTTATTCTTTTAATCCAAAGATAGGCGTTAGCTGCTTCCCAGTGAACTGTTGAGATCTGGGCTTTCTCTTCACTTTTTATTTTTAATAACTCTTTCCAGACTCCTCTGCCCCTAAGCGTTTGGCTCTCTGAGGTGAGGGCATCGGCCAGTTTTCTCCTAAGACATCTAAGCCACACACACGCACACACACACACACACACACACACACACACACACACACACACACACACACACACACTGTTTTATCTGGCAAGGATCAGATGCCGGCCTCCACCTGCGCCCAGTTGTGATGTAGTCTTTCATTCTGTTCCTCATATTTACATAGGAAAACTCACATGCCAGCGCGAAGACAGCTAATGAATAAGACGAGGAGACTGTCTTGGACAGGTGTTAGCAGTTTCTGGCGTTCTCCACACCACACAACAAGTTAAGCTAGCACCTCCCACTTTCCAGCCCTCTGGAAAGCTACCTTTTGGAGAGAGAGCGTTGGGTGTAAACGCGTAGAGAACAAATAGATGATGCGCACTAACAGCAAGGAGGGAAGACAAAACCCAGAAATCCTGGGCCGACAAGTAATGCAAAGGAGCAGCTGAGGCAGCGGTGAGAACTCCCTCCCGGAGCCAGCCAGAGACTAGCAAAGCTCCCGGGCTTCTTAGGAGGTTGAGCATGGTTTACGAGAAGGGAACTGCTCCCTCTAGCGGTCGGATGGCGTATTTCCTGCAGGCCCTGGGAGGTAAACTGAAATCGACTCCACAAGGGCTGCAAGAAAGGTTCTTTTGTTCCACTCAGTGAAAGAGAAACAGCACACGCTTTTCATTTGGGGCTTTGTTGATTTTTTGTTGAGAAAGACTACACAGAAGCTTTAATTTATCTAATTTTTCATTCAGAGCTGGGGATGTGGCCCTCTGGCACACGGCGGGGGGTGGGGGAGGAGAGATAATCAGTATTGAAATATAAATTTCAATTCCACATCACAGCCAATGAAGGGAATGTGGAGAGTCCCGAGAAGGAGATGGCAGATAAAGAGCCATCTTCGGGGACAGGCATCCCTTCCTTGGTGATCACTGGGGATCCCCAAGGCCCCACTGCACACACTGTGGTAGGGAGAAAAGCCGTACAGGTGATGGAAGATGAAACCAAGACATTTGCCAGACTGGCCTTCTGCAACAAAGAGGTTAATCGACCCCATTCTAGAAATCTATAACCTTTAAAAGGGGACTGAACTCCTGAGCACAGCTCATTTTTCTGGAAAAATCCATTGAACTCAGGTGAAGTGTTTCTTTTTTCTTTTCTTTTTTTGCCTGAAGACCAGGGCCTGACCCCTTGGCTCTGACCTACTCCCACTCCACAGGAGGATCATGGCCCTTCCTGAGAACTATGAGGTGATGTCTGAGACACAGGACAGACAGAGCCATCATCAACCCAGCCCAGCCCCGAGAATTTGTGAGTTGGAAGGACCAGGATGCTCACTCTCCACAGAGAAGTTCTTTAGTCCCTGTGTAGTCCACTGTGTGGCTTCAGCTGTGAGGACATTTTCCCTCCCTGGAGCTAACCCACAGACCATGCATGCCTTACCCTCTGGCAGGTACACAAATACCTTCCAAGGAATCCTTCAAATGACTGGCTTGTCCAGCAAGATCTGAGAATGGCCGTACCAAGGAAAAGTTACCTGGGATGAGCAAAAGCATGCAGTGAGAGGGGCCGGGAGGGAACCGGACAGAAACCGTGTGTGCGGTGGCTTCTCTTCGTGCTTAGCATGGGAAGCGTGGTCTCTGCCTGGCTGTGTATCTGCGTGCCTCATGAACACCAGGAGAGGCCGAGTTGCCGATGGAAGTGGAGCCTGGCTTCCCAAGCAGAGATGGATGCTGGGAGACACTCACAGAAGGCCAAAGCCAGTGGCTCCTGACAGAGTGTGTCAGACCAGACAGGTGACACTATCCCCATGGCTGTGAATGATTGCCACACTGCCTGGTGCAGGCAATGAGCTCATGGAGGGACTCTGTGCTAAGGGTATGTGCTTACTTTAAGAGAAACATGCCTAGGCCCCGAAATAAGAAAAACAAATATTCCTCTTAATGGTCTCCCCCAAGCCCTGGAGATGGTTCACCTTTCGATATGCACTGAGTCCCTTCAGGCCTGGGGCCTCTGGAATTACAGGTGGGTAAAGTGAGTCAGTGAAGCTGGGGAGGACTTCAGAGCTCTGTCTCCCAGACCCGCATCATTAAAATGGATCCTGATGGTCAAGTCTTGTGGGAAGAGTCATGAGTCACGGGGGGGGGGGGGGGGGGGGGGAAGGGAAGGGAAGGGAAGAGGAGGAGAGGGGAGGGGAGAGATGTGAGACTACCAGAGAGAAACCCTTTAATCAACCCACAAGGTCCAAATAAGACTCCGCCTTTTGCAACGTGGAGATTTGCTGGGACTACTGGCTTGGCTTTCCGGCAGGTGGTACACCATGAAGAACCCAGGAGGGATGGTGGAACAAGAGCTTGTGGGATTCGGGAGTTTGTTCCAGCTCCAGAGTGGCCCAGAGAATCGCTGGCCGCCTTCTTGCTCTCCCTGTGGCTTTCTTGTCTTGTGGGATGGTTCTGTTGAGGATGGAACTTGGCAGACACCACGGAGTCCTGTCATCAGGAGCTGCAACTGAGGGAAGGGGAACAGGGGTGCGGACATCTTGAAAGAACCAAGAACTTGGTTGAGGCAGCACTTGGGGACAGAGCAAGGGCTTCAGAAGCCTGGGTTCTGTTCACAGAATGCAAAACTTCTCAGCCTCCTGGTCAGATAGAAAGCCCCGTTCATTCTTTAGACTACAGGCCTATGGACAGGCTGGTCCCTGGAGGTGCCGTGGGGTAAGATTATGCTCAGCCATCTGAGGTAGGCACTCAGCCCTGCCACAAAATGGCAGGTCAGTTACCTGAGTTGAGCCTCAGTTTCCTTGCTAGTAAAGTGGGAACACTTATTCAACCCCTGCCTCCCATTCTAGGATGCTGAGGCCTCCAGTGAGCTAATGTCTGAGAATGCAAGTACCTGCTAGACAAGAAAACTTTCTACTGTGAGATCCCTCTGTCCTGAGGCAGGAAACAGTCTATTGTCATGAAGAATGGTGACAGGCACAGCTGGGCTGAGGTAACAGGGATGCACAGGTCTCAGCAAGGCTTGTTGGTGGTATAGGATGGGAGGCTGTCCTCTCTTGACTTTCCAGAGGAGTGCTAATTCTGGACAGGCCAGGGGCACCAGGAAGGAGGCTGTGCTTGGCCAGTGGTCCAGCACTGCACTGGGATGAGAGCTGAATGCACTCGGCTGCTTGGTTTTCAGTGGGCGCCATTAGCAGGTGCCAGGTCCCAAGGAAGGGAATCACCCAGGACAGAGCAATGTGCAAAGGGCCAGCCATGGCTTTCTAACATCGTGGGGACCATGTGGTGCTCTTCATGAAGGTGAGAGTGGGGGTCCCCGGTGGAGCAGCAACCAGCCGGGTGCCCTGCCTGCAGCCCCAGGAGAGCAGGAGTGTTACCGACTCCCCAGGAAGCCTGTGTGTCTGTTGGCCACGCGGGTGCAGGAGGCGCAGCAAGCGGTCTTGTAGTAGTTGTAGACACAGAGGCGCGCCTGCACCACCACGTTGCAGTTGTAGTACTTATCCTTGCAGTTTTCGTCTGCAGTGGAAGAGAACAGAAGAGTCTCCTGAGCCCAAGACAGCCAGGAACCGTGGGAAGAGAAAGGGCGGGGGACCGAGGGCTTCCTCTGGGCCCTGCTTCTGTCTGTGTGTCTGTGTGTCTGCGTGAGCCTGAGTGAGCACGTGCAGAGACCAGAGTAGGATGTCGGGGATGTCCAGGGAGGGGCCTTGTTAGGGCTCAGAGGAAGTGGGAAGGGGGTGAGAGGGGGTAGTGAGGGGGTGAAAATGATCCCCAAATATTATAGATGTATATGAGCTTGTCAAAGAATAATAAAGAAAAAAAGACGTTTGAAAAATAAGTTGAAGAGCAATTGAGGAAGATATCTGATGACTTTAGGTGTACACACACACACACACACACACACCACACATACACACATGCACACACCACACACACATACACACATGCACACACCGCACACACACATACCACACACACATACACACACCACACACACATACACACGCGCACACACACACCACACACACATACCACACACACACACACATGCACACACACACACACACACACACGCATGTACACAGTAAAAAGAAATATATGTTCAAGTGCTGTGGAATGTCTTTCTGTATGCTGTGAGTATGTGTTGCTCTGATTGGTTGATAAATAAAGCTGCACTGGCCTATGGCAGGGCAGGATGGAGCCAGGCAGGAAAATCCAAGAGAGATAGTGAGGGAAGAAAGGAAAGTGAGGAGATGCTGCTAGCCATTGCCAGGAGAAGCAAGATGTAAAAGTACAGGTAAGCCACAAGTCATGTGGCAAAGTATAGATTTATAGAAATGGGTTGATTTAAGATGTAAGAGCTAGCTAGTGACAAGCCTGAGCCATTAGGCCATATAGTTTGAAAATAATGTAAGCCTCTGTGAGTTTACTTGGGACCAAGTGGCTGTGAGATGTGGGTGGGAGAGATTCGTCCCAACCACAGGTTGGGCATGCCTGTAATCCCAGCACTTGGGAGGCTGAAGCAGAAGGACCAGGAGTTCAAGGTCATCCAGGGCATCATAGTGAGATGCTGGTCCCAAACTAACAATAATAAAGTAGTGATCATGATGAAGAGAGAGAACAGGGTTGATGAACACTGAATTTGAGGGTTTCTTCCCATAAAGACGTAAGGAGAAAGGAGAAAATGATCATGGAGGGGACCTAGAATTGGTCTATTTTTATGTTTTATTAAAATAAGTTTAACTGGTGCTGCTTGCATGGGCATGGGTGGGGGGTTATTTACCAGAGCACGGGCAACTTACAGCGGCTACACCACCAAAGAAAGCGACTCCTCCCCCAGCCACCAAGAACACCCATGGCGGCTCCTTGGCTGTTCATGGGCAGGACCTCACTAGACCGTCCTCTTTCACCTACTTTTCTGGTCATTGAACCAGGACCTCACTGATTGCCTAGACAGGCTGGCCAGCAAGCCTCCTGGGGTGGCAGGCATGGGTCACCGCACCCGGCTTTCATGTGGGTGCTGGGGATCCGGATTCAGACCCCCCGGTTTGTACAGCAGACACTTTTCCCTGCTGAGCATCTCCCCGGGCCTCTGACCATTTCCTCATACTTGAGCTGTATGTGACAGTGTCCTTAACCACTGTGTGGCACCTCAACTGAAGAAAAGGTAGACATGACCCATGGTTCTTGGCCACTGCTTGCTTGCTTGATAGTGAGTTCATGCCTTCATTTTTATTATTGGGGAGGATATATCCATGTAAATATATAACTTATCCATTTTCCATCGGTAGACATTTGTTTCCATTTTTTCCAGTTATAAATAATGAATGATCTTTTAAGCATTTTAAAAAAAGTCTTCTTTCTGGGTTTTAAGATACGTACAGCCTTACTAGACGTGATGGCTGCCTGCCAAATGACGTGAAGCTATTTGCATTTTTCTTGGCAGAACAGGAGAATTCCATTTTTTTTTTTTTTTTTTTTGGACAGGAGGATGAGAAGCCTCAGTTGGCCCTGATGCTGGAGGATGGCATTGAACTCCTGATCCTCCTGCCTCCATCTCCAGTGTCTGGGGATGATTCTAGGTGGGTGCCAGCATAGCTGGTTTATGCTGTGTTGGAGATCAATCTCGGGACACTGTGCATGCTAAGCAAGTTTTCTACTAGCTGAAGTGCACCCTCGGATCAGCAGAACTGTCCCCACCCTGAGCTGTATTTTTGTCTGTCTAGTGGATGGATGTAAGATGATCCTGGTGTGATGCAGGGCACACTGAAGCGGGGTTTGCCGCTCAGGTTCCCTTTGCTGGGAGCAGTTTTCTCCATGCAATGGGTCCGGATCTTTCCTGGTTCCTGTGTTGCAAGTTTCTTCTCTGGCTCATAGCTCTTCCTGGCACTTCCTTTATGATGTCACGTGATAAGCAGATGCTTGCCATTTTAACATTATTGGTATTCTAGTATTTTCCCTTGGGGTTTGTGCTCTGGGATTTTCGTTTAAGAAATTCTTCCTTACTCTGACAGAAATTTGTTTTTCCTCAAAGTCTTTTCTTAAAGTTTAAAATTTCTGATTACATTTATTTCCCTAATTCACCAGGAACACCATGGTGATGGTGGTGGTGATGGTGGCATTAGTGTGTGTGTGTCTGTGTCTGTGTGTCTGTCTGTGTGTTGAGAGGCAGGCATTCAATTTTACTGTTCCTCTGTACACATAAGAATACATGAACTGTTTCATTATCATTTCATTATCCCCAGACTCATATACTGACCCCATCACATAGCAAGCATCTTTGGTTCATCGGGGACTATTTTATATTTTTAGATTGTCATTTCCCCCTGTGCCAACATGCCTTGATTTGTGGCAGGATAAGTCCCCCAACACCGTACAGCCTCAAAACTTCCCTGGCTATTCTTTGCTCTTATTTGATACAAACAATTTGATATATCCAGTTAATATTTGATATATCTAGTAAAAAGTCCTGTATAGATTTTGATTACATTGCTCAAGGGCTGGGAATATGGCTCAGGTGGTAAGAGCGGTTACTGTGTAAGCCTGAGGACCTGGGTTTGATCCCCAGGGCTCACATGAAAGAACTGGGCATGTAGATGAGGCAGGTGGTCTCTGGAGTTTGCTGGGCGGCCAGCCTAGCCTGCACAGCCAGGCACAGGCCAGAGAGACTCTATCTTAAAATAAAGAAAGAAAAAGAAAAGAAGGGAGAGGAGAGGATAAGGAAGAAGAGATATGGGAACACACTTGAAACACATCTTAGGAAAATGTGTTATAATCAGTATAAAGGCCCCTGCGGGCAGGAGGCTTCAGAATAAATATTGATGGAATTCCCATGGCTGGGCCATGCACACAGGCTATTTATTCATTTTCCTTGGCAATACCACACAGTTGAAGCAATTTAAATTTGGATTGCCAATTGTTCCTTGTGTTGCTTTTTATAAAGGTTGCATTAGAACACAGCATCAAAAAGGAAAGTTGTCCCAGGCACACAGACATGGGTAATTAAAGACGGTGAAAACTGTCATATCCTTGGAATTGTCTGTATAGATTTCAAAGCAAGGAGTGACTGCCATAACCAGTTAGTGTATTCTGCAGCCCATCTCTCAGCCAGCACATGCTCGTCAAAGATTTTTTCACTAATAAGAAGTGAGAGGGGTTTTGTTTTTCAAACAGGTTTTTAATGTGTCCCTGGCTGGCCTTGAACTTGATATGTAGGAGATGATGACCTTGATCTTCTGATTCTCCTGCCTCTACCCTGGAGGGCTGTAATCACAGGCACTAGCCACCACGCCTATTTTCTGTGGTGCTGGATCAAACCTAGCTAGGGCTTTGTGCACGGTCGGCCAGCTTTCTGACACTGAGCCCCAGCCGTGATTTTTTTTCTTTAAAAACCACTCTGGTTTGGTCTTTTAGATTTAGCTATCGTGTTTTTTCGGGGGGGGGGGGGGGAGAGGGGTACTTCACTTCCAATATAAAATCCAATGAAGGGGAAGACAAGGAAACTACAAGGTTAACAAAATACAATGTATAAACAAGACTTTGGTGACCTCTGATGCGTCTCAAGATGACTGTGTCAAGGTTAAAGCTGCTAAAAATGTCCAGCCGGGAGCCCACATTGTGAAACTCAGAGGATACCCCAGTGGGCTGTAGTCTTAAACTGTAAAATTATAATAGCCGAAGCACCCTGAGACTGCCCCCCCCCCCCCCAAGGCCGTGCACAAGGTCACAGAGAGAACTGGATGAGCCGTTTTCACATGGGATAACTTGACCGAGCTAGAGGGGGCCCTTTCTCTCTTCTCCCGGATGGGAACCCCGAACTCACCAACTTCAGGGACACAGTCCTGAGGGTTACAAGATTCTCTTTCTTCTGGTTTCAACTGGGGGTCACAGAGGCTGCCCGGGGTCATGTCATCTGACAGACACCGTACTTCCCGGACTCGGAACCCGCCCTGACAGCTCTTGGAGCACTGTGCGGCCAAAAGAAGGAAAGCATCAGGTTCCTGAGCAGGCTGTTAGATCCCCACGCCAGAGCGGAAGATCAGGGGGAAATTCAAACATCTCCAAAAAGGGAAACTGAGCGCTAAAATACACCTCCACATGCTTGTTGACCAGCTCCCACACCCAGCAGGTCGGCTATCTGTCCTGTCTGCCCCCCTCCCGCCCCCACTCCTTGTGTTTTGAGGGAATTCTAGACTCCCATCACAACTCCCGTAGTATTTTATGGCTCCAATAAAAGAAGGAGCCTTAAACATATACCATTGCTGTACCTTATTATTTCCAAATCTACATATTTAGTGAGTCTAGTTCCATTTTTTAATTTGGTGAATCATATCTATTTAAAAATAGTTTTTCTTTAAAAATCAGGGTCAAGGGGGGCTAGAAAGATGGCTCAGAGGTTAAGAGCACTGGCTGCTCTTCCAAAGGTTCTGCGTTCAATTCCCAGCAACCACATGGTGGCTCACAACCATCTGTAATGAGATCTGGTGCCCTCTTCTGGCCTGCAGGCACACATGCAGGCAGAAAAATCAGGGTCAAGTTGGAGGGAAGTAGAGATGGATAGATATGAAATGCATTGTGTAAGTGTAGGACAATTTCAAATGATAAATAAAAAGCATTATTTAAAAAACTAAACAAAACAGGGGGCTGGAGAGATGGCTCAGAAGTTAAGAGCACTGACTGCTCTTCCAGGGGACCTGGGTTCAATTCCAAGCACCCACATGGCAGCTCACAACTGTCTGTAACTCCAGCCCCAGGTGATCTGATGCCCTCTTCTGTGGGTACTGCATGTAGGTGGTGCACAGATATACATGCAGGCAAAAAAAACCCCCATGCACATGAGATAAAAATGAACAAAAAATTTTAAAATAGTAATAATAATAATAATAATAATAATAATAATAATAATAATAATAAAAAAAATCTCGGGATCCATATCTCAGTTACACTTTGTAGTTGGCTGATACTTTTATGATTCTTAATCTAAACCCACAGGTCTCCCTTCCATTGTCTTATGCTTGTTTATTTTTAATTTTTAAAAATTAAAACAAATTTTCTTCAAGATAGGATCTCGCTATGTAGTCCTGGCTGGCCTAGAATTCACTATATAGACCAGGCTGGCCTTGAACTCACAGAGATCCTCTGACCTCTGCCTCCCGAGTGCTGGGATTAATGGTGTGCACCACTACTGTGCCTAGCTCTCCACTGTTCTTGAGACAGGCTCTCACTGAGTCTGAAGCTCGCCATTCCGGCTAGCCTGGCTGGCCAGTGAGCTCCAGGGGACCCCCCGTCTCCACCTCTCCGGTGCTGGGGTGGCAAGTGCATGCTCCTGTGTCAGCTGATAATGTAGTAGTTTGACATTATTTGAGTCCCTTCAACCACCATTCTCTACACACTGTCAAACTACAGCCCAAGGACACCTGCATCCTGCTTGTTAAATACACAAATGTCTTAGCCAGGAGGGGCCCAGAATCAGTCTTTTCTTTCTTTTTTTTTTTTTTTTTGGTTTTTCGAGACAGGGTTTCTCTGTGTAGCTTTGCGCCTTTCCTGGATCTCGCACTGTAGACCAGGCTGGCCTCGAACTCACAGAGATCCGCCTGGCTCTGCCTCCCGAGTGCTGGGATTAAAGGCGTGCGCCACCACCGCCCGGCTCAGAATCAGTCTTTTCAATCGAGACCCCTAGATACACCCTAAAGCTTGAGAATCATCGCATTAGGAACATGTCTGTGTAGAAACCCAAATCTGCAAGCTGCAGGGTTTCCTGACTGAACAGGGTCCCCTCACTGTGACTACCTAGAGTAGATGTCATGGGGGATCTAGCATCTCTTCTTGGGGTGGGCCCAGGACCCTGCCCGGAGACATCTATGGATGACTGTGACTTACCATGCTCCATTCCGTGCTAAACCATTTAGCTCCACAAGGCTTGAGGTGGCAGGGTTGCTGGCTCGGGGGCTTCTCCAGGAACGAACACTCATAGGGGTCTAGCACTTCAAAGGTGTCTGCATTCTTCCTAACACAGATCACCTCCCTCTGCTGCGTCCCACTGCCACACTCGACCGAACACTGGAGAAGAAGCAGAGACAGGTAACTGTCACATGATGTACGGGGGGAAGAAAACCACGTTCCTGGAGGGACATCCTCAATTCTTCCACCGAGGCATACGAGAAAGGGCAAGACAGAGGATACAAGACTAGACGTTGGCAAAGTCCATTGCTGATAAAGAACATAGGGGCTGGAGAGATGGCTCAGTGGGTAGAATGTTTGCTGCACAAGTGAGAAGTCGTGAGTTCAAATCCCCAGCACCCATGTAAAAGGCCGGGTGTGGCTTTTAGTGCTGGGAGGCAGAGACAAGGAGGATCCCGGAGGCGTGCTGGTCAGCCAGTCTAGCTAACTAGTCAGCTCTAGGTTTAGAGAGAGAACTTGTCTAAAAAAAAAATAAGATGGAGAGAGATGGAGGAGGAGACATGGACATTGGTCTGTGTGAGGGCTGGGGCAACGTCTTGTGCAACTGACACCTGACCCCCACTGCAGCCCTGTCTGTGGGACTCCATCAGCAGCAAGAGTCAGGAAGATGGGTCAGGGCCTAGGCCCCAGTGGGTTCTCAAGGACATGGAGTGACAACCCAAGGAGGGATCCATTTTTGCCCGTGGGTGACAGTGACCTGGGGGCTGTGGTGGTGGTGGTGTCATTGGCAGCTGTATTATGTGCACCTAGGACACCCTAATGATCACTGTTATTTTTTTATTATGTTTTTGAGAAAGCATCATGTATAGATGAGGCTGCCCTTGAAATTTCTATCTCCTGCACTAGCCCTTGAGTTTTGGGATTACCAGTGTATATTGCCATCCCTGCTTGATTGTTGCTATGGTTACAGGTGTGTCTGTCTCACCACCTCCCTGCTTGATCGTTGCTATGGTTACAGTTGTGTCCCACCATCCCTACTTGGTTGTTGCTATGGTTACAGGTGTGTCTCACCACCCCTGCTTGACTGTTGCTATGGTTATATGATATTTTCCTGGGTAGTGACAAATGATGACATCCTGAATTCATGAGCATACCTGTTGAAGAAATATTTTTTTCTTTGGATACTAGATTTTTTCTTCTTTTTTCAGAAGGATAATTGATTTTTTTAAAATTTTATTTTGAGATAAGGTTTCACTAGTCCTGGCTGTCCTGGAACTTGCTCTGTCAACCAGGCTGTCCTTGAACTCACAGAGATCCACCTTAGATCTGCCTCAGAGTGCCAGGACTAGAGGTACGTGTCACCATGCCCAGCTGATGATTACTTCCTTCAAACTGACCCCAGGCTGGGGTGACTGGGGAAGGACAAAAGGGCGTCTTCTGTCTCCTGCCCTTCGCTGTCAACTTGCTTTCCAAAGGGCCTGTGTCGGTCACAGGGCAAAGCCAGCCAATTTCATCAAGGCCTGCTTTTAAAGCTACTTAAAAAAATTCTCTATGGAGCCAGAGTCTGGATAATGTGTAAATCATGACCTTCAGCCAAAAAGGCCTGGAGAAACAGCCAGCCCTGGGAGCCAGATGCTAAATGGGGCCAAGAACTCAAATCCAGGGCAGTAGTGGGGGGTGGGTGGGTGTGGGTGGGTGTGAAGTAGGGGCTGTGACAGGGTGGTCAGTGGGATGGCTCTGGGTTCAAGTTCAATGCTGGAACAGGGAGGAAAAATTAGCTCATCAATTTGTAAGTTACTTTAGTTTCTTTATTATTTGCTCTTTATAATGTACGCTTCCAGCTTAAAAACAAACCTGTGTGTATGATGTATGTGTATGTGTGCAGGCAAACGTGTACCATGTTGCATGTGTGGAGGTCACAACAAGCTTGCATGCTGGCCCTCACATTCTACTTTGAGGCAGGGTCTCTTACTGTTCACTCTGTTCCAGGCTAGCCGGCCTGCAAGCCTCCGGGGAGTCCTCTGTCTCCACCTCCTATCTCAGTAGAGATGTGCTGGGATTACAGATGTGTGCCACCATGCCTAGTTTTTACATGGGTTCTGGGGAGTCTCAACTCAGGTCCTCACACGTGTGCAGCAGATGATTTACCCACTGCGCTCTCTCTCAGGCCCCATCTCCAGATTTTTTTTTTTATAATTTATTTATTTTTATTTTATGTGCATTGGTGTTCTGCCTATATGCATGTCTGTGTGAGGGTGTCAGATCTTGTAGTTACAGACAGATATTAGCTGCCATGTGGGTGCTGGGAATTGAACTCATGACCTCTGGAAGAGCAGTCAGTGCTCTTAACCGCTGAGCCATCTCTCCAGTCCCGCATCTCCAGATTTTTAAACGGAAGCGTCCGACACTGTCAAGTACTGACAGAACCAGCTTCAGTCCTGGTAGTGACAAGGCAGCGACAGCCACCTGCTGCATTTACTGTCTGTCCCTTGACTACTCATGCTCATCCCCTGAGGCAGAGAAATTTGTTTTGTTCACAGATGTAGCTCAAGTGCTTATGTGAGCACACAGTAGGTGCACACTGAATCTTGTTGGCTGAACAAGGTGCTTAAGTGAGCACACAGTAGGCGCACACTGAATCTTGTTGGCTGAACAAGGTGCTCAAGTGAGCACACAGTAGGCACACACTGAATCTTGTTGGCTGAACAAGGTGCTTAAGTGAGCACACAGTGGGCGCACATTGAATCTTGTTGGCTGAACAAGGTGCTCAAGTGAGCACACAGTAGGCACACACTGAATCTTGTTGGCTGAACAAGGTGCTTAAGTGAGCACACAGTGGGCGCACATTGAATCTTGTTGGCTGAACAAGGTGCTCAAGTGAGCACACAGGAAAGGTACACCCGTTGGCTGAACGAGGCACCAAGAACATGGCCACTTTTCCAGGTTGTGACAGGCAGTGGGTAGCATGGCCAGATTCAAAGCTGGTTCCGAACCCCTCTGCTATGTTGTCTCTTGCCAGGGACAGACAGATGTACCCGGAGCTGGCGACTCACCTGACTCTGGGGGACACAAAGATGTACCCAGCTCTGGCCACTCACCTGACTCCAGCTGCCAGAGAACCACTCCACCTTGCCCGTGCAGGGCCCGTTATCACAGGGCGTAGTCTCCGCCGGCCTGTTGTTCCCGCAGCCTTCCAGAGGCAGGCTGCTGACATGGTTGGTCATGCACACCACCGAACGAGTCCTCACTCCAGCCCCACACTCGGCTGAGCACTGTAAGTCAGAAGGAGGGCATATTAGTGGGGCCCCTGCAGGTTCTGGGGACACTTCCAAAGGATGCCAAGCTCTTACTGCCCCTCAAACTCTTTTCTCTCTTGCACATGACATACTTCAGTGAGAGGAAACCTCTGCCTTATCTATTACTTTTGCCTTCTATAGTTTAATTACTCATGGTCAAATGTAGTTTGTACGAGTTATATGGGAAATTCCAGAAACAACTCATCAATTGTAAGTGGTCCCAACCAACCCATTCTTCTAGACTTTTATGTTCCAGTATTTCACCCCATACCCCATTCTGGACAGAGTCAGCATGGCGGCAGTCCCCTGATCACATGAGAGGCTATGAGAGCCCTTGAACACGTCCCCTCTTCCTGGATGCCCTTCCCTTTACCAGGAAACACCAGAATCCTTGAGGGCTGGGTTCAAATGCCCTTTCCTGTGTAAAACATCCTTGCTTGCCCCTTTAACACACTCTTTGAAGCTTTGTAAGTCACATGGTATTCTCTATCCCAGTCCTTCCTTTGTTTCTGAAATTGCTTAACAATTGTGTGTGTGTGTGTGTGTATGTGCATACACACACATAATGAATACACACACACACACACACACACACACACACACACACACACACACATGCTAGGCTTGCTAGAGCGAAGAGAACATTCTTATCTGTGGAGGTGGGGGTTGGCTGTGAGATGATTAACTGAAATTAATCTTTCCCCTGTCACTTCTCCCATGCCTCTGTCACTCTCCTAACTCACCATCCCTTGATGGTCAAACGCTTTCTTGCATCTAGTTACTTCTGTGTGTCTTTCCTCCTTGTCAGAGCAGAACACAAGCCCTCCAGACAAGCTCCTTTTCTTGTGGCCTTCACTTCTTTCCTACGAAGTTCCCTTTGCCATGGAAAATATTAACATCAAATTAAAGTATTTTGCCTGGCGGCAGTGGTGCTCGTCTTTAATCCCAGCACTTGGGAGGCAGAGCCACGTGGATCTCTGTGAGTTCGAGGCCAGCCTGGTCTACAGAGTGAGATCCAGGACAGGCACCAAAACTACACAGAGAAACCCTGTCTTGAAAAACAAAACAAAACAAAACAAAACAAAACAAAACAAAACAAAACAAAACAAAACAAAATTATGTTTCTCTAGTTCTACGGTTCTCAACTTGTGAGTCATGATCCCTTGGGGTTGAACAACCCTTTCACAGGGGTCACCTAAGACCAATGGAAAACACAGATGTTTACATTGTGATTCATAACAGTAGCAAAATTACAGTTACAAAACAGCAAGGAAAATAACTTTATGGTTGGGGTCCCCACAACATGAGGAACTAACTGTATTAAAGGGTCACAGCATTAGGAAGGTTGAGAACCACTGACCTGGTTAAACTTTTGTTAGTTCAATTACAGGCTGAAGCCAGAGAACCTAAGGGTAGAGGGAGTCCCTCCTCCACCAAGGGTCACACTCTGTCTTTATGACTTCAGCTCTTGTTTATATCATTATGGTAAATCTGAGACAATGAATCAACTCCTTGGGTTAAAAAAAAGCCCTTGTTAACAGTAACTAGAACAATCCAGTCTGGAGACATTTTTGTTCTAGCCATGTGTGGTCTGAAGTTCACAACTGTGCAACTCAAGGTGTTTAAAATCTCTTGTCAAGAATAAGAAGTAACTCAAAGGTGAGATGGCACGGCTGTTACTAGTGCTTGCTGGCTGGGCGTGGTGGCACAAATCTTTGATCCAAACATTTGGGAGGTAGAGGCAGGCCTAGTCTACACAGTGGGTTCTAGGCCAGCCTGGGCTACATAGACACTGTATCAAAACACCAAAAACAAAACAAACAAACAAACCCAAAAAACTAACACTGACCCCCACTCCCCCCCCCCCCAAAAAAAAAAAAAACCAACCCTGAGTGCTCATTGCTTTTGCAGAGGACCCAAGTTTGGTTCCAGCACCCTCATTGAGCAGATCACAGCTGCATGGAACTCTAGACTCATGGGATCTGATACCCTCTTCTGTCCTCTGTGGCCACCTGAATACACATGACACCAACACACACACACACACACACACACACACACACACACACACACACACACACACACACAAGAATAATAAAAAAATCTTCAAAAAGTAACCCAAACGTTATTTATCTCTGTTCAACTTCTACAAACATTTCTCCCTACATAATACTACACATTCCCACCTGACAAATGGACTGAACCTGCTTTCCACACTTAGGCTGTACATGCCCCTGGGGCAGGCGGGGTCTCCAGATCCCCCAGGTGCTTAGTTGGTCAAAGATGGAGCCTGGGCCCAGTGAGAGGACCAGGATGATGGGCCTGAAGAAGGAACTTCTCTCTATTATGCCAGTGGCTGGGAAAAGCATGGCAGATTCAGATCGGAAAGGAGCTCCCCAGGCCTAGGAAGCCTGCCAGCAGAAACGGGGGAAGGCGGGGTACCCCCTCACACAGCAGGGACTCAGCTGCACAGATCTGCTCTTGGTTCTATTTTGGTCTCTGATAGATGGAGTCAAGTGACTGCTGGCTTCTCTTGCATGTAGTAACAGTGGCGTGACAGTCGGTTGTATTTGCCTTTGAGTTTTCTTTAATGGCTACCTAGGCTCTGAGAAAGGCTAGGCTTCCGGGATAGGGACAGCATGGAACATGCTTCTAGCTACTAAAAAAAACAGGGAAGGTGCCTACAGTCCACTGCATGTCTACCGTATTCCAGGCACAACTTCTACGTGGTCCTCTCCTCATCTATGGAATGCTGAGGAGAAGGAAGCTAATTTTTTTCACACCCCTTCCTTAACGGCAGAGCCCCTTGGTCCTCATAGGAGCCTACAAACCTACAGTGATCCATCCCTGGCCTTTTGCCAAAGCTAGTGTAGCAGCTGGTGGTCCTCTGAGCAAAACAGCTGCCATCTTTACCAGCTCAGCTGAGCCTGCTTGTGAGAGTCCATCGCGATTGGACCTGGGGAGTGTTGACACTCCCTCAGAGAGGGAGGGGGTGGGGAGGGCCACCGGACTGTCACTTACGGATTCAGCCAGTAGAGTGCAATTCTTCACTAACTGCACACGGCCTAGGAACCTCTGAGCACATACACAGGGGAGGGGGTAAGTAACTGTGGCGGTTTGACTAGGAAGGGCCCCCAGAGGCTCATATATTTGAATGCTTGGTCATTAGGGGGTGGCACAACTTGACAGGGATTAGGAGGTGTGGCCTTGTTGGATCAGGTCTGGCCTTGATGGAGGAAGTATTTCTCTAGGGGTGGGCTTTGGGGTTTGAAATGCTCCAGTCAGGCCCAATGTCTCGTCTTCCTGCTGCCTGTGGATCCAATCTGGAGGTAGACCTCTCAATTTCTCTAGCACCATGTCGGCCTGCATGCCGCCATGATGACAATGGACTAAACCTCTGAAACTGTAAGCAAGTCCCAACTAATGCTTTCTTTTATAAGAGTTGTTGTGGTCATGGTGTCTCTTCACAGCAATAAAACATCGACTAAGACAGCAATCAAAGGCTATCCACCTATGCAGCTGTGGGGAAGCTGCCATGCATCCCTCCAACGCTGCTATGCTGGGATCACCTACACCCTTGCCCATGCTCTGAAGAAAGCCCAATAAACCCTTGAGTCTCCCCAGGGGGAATCTTATGAGGACACGTGAGACATTCTCGACATCTCACTGGGGAAGGAATTCGCTTTGGGATTCTGAGCTACCAGTGTGTCCCCGAGCGACTCTGGGAGTCCCTGGGACACAGCTGATCCCTGCCAGTGGCACACTCACCCTTTCACTCCATTCTGTGAGGAACCAGCTCTTCGCACAGGGCCCCATGTCACAGTTCTCGATGTCATTTGGGCGGAGCTTCATGTTGCATTCCTCGTCATGCACCACGTCCCCGATGTTGCTCACACACTTCACATCCCGGGTCCGCTGCCCCACGCCACAGGGCACCGAGCACTAAAACACAGCGGGCCTTGGTATCCTGTCCTCAGTCTTTGCCACCCGACCCTCAACAGATGAGGTGAGAAGGACCCTGTTTGTTGGGTCCCCTGCAATGCCTGTAATTCCCCGGGGAGGAAATGATCAAGGGAAGACACCCTGGCCTGTTCCTCTAGGAATCTTCTTGGATGGCATCTTGTTTACTGGCCTGCTCAGGGCCCCAGCCTCTCCATCTCCAGGATGCACGCACCACACCAGAAGGTGCCAACTTTACTACTGGTTGCCAAGCTTCTCTTAGCACATGGGAGACACAGGGCAGGTGAAGTCTGCAGGTACAGGACGCACTCACATAAGGCTCACCACGAGACTGGGTGCATATGGGCCATGCACACTAGCCTGAACTCTACTGAGCTGCTGGTATGAAATGTGTTTGCAGTCAGGCTGCCCAGCAAACATTCCCTACCCTACCCATCACGGGTCCTAGCAGCGGGAGGTGGGAGTGTGGTGGTGGGTATCGGAGGGAGAGGGAGGTCCTGTACCGAGGTCCAGTCGGTCCGAATCTGCCACTCACTGCAGATCTTGAGCTGGCAGGTGCTGGTGGTCTCGGGCTTCTCCAGGTGCTGGCAGCGGTAAGGCTGCACCGTCAGGCTGCGGTTGGCATACACCTGGCGGCAGAGGACCTGGCGGTGCTGCATGCCCAGGCCACAGGTTTTGCTGCACTCAGACCACTCCCCGATGTCCCAGCTGGCTCATGGGATGGATGGGGGGGAGGGAAGAGGGGAGAAGATCAGTTAACAGGAATACATAGAAAAATCAGTGGGGGCCCTCTCCCCAGAGCAGTGCCTAAAGGTCTCGGACTGTAAGGGAGCCTGTAGGATATGCTGTTTACCATGGCTAGATTGCTCAGATTCTGCAAACAGTCACAGAAAGAACGAGACAGTAGAGATGATTTCTATCTAGTCATCAAAGCAGAATCCCCCCAATATCTCCCCCCCAAGTTGGCTTAATTTCCTTATAACACTAACCCTCTTGGGAGCTAAGAGATGCCACCTAGGCATTCTCTGCTGTCCACTATTTCCATGCCCCAATCTTGACAGTTACTGAATGAGACACGAACAGGTGTTCAGTACATATTTGAATAAAAACTATATTTTTCTTTACTCCAAGGATTAAGCTTTGACCTTTTGGGACCTGCCCCAATCCATCTGAGACGGTCTCATTTATCACTCAGTGACCTGTTTCCAACCTCTCTCGGACACTCTTCCTGACTCCTCCAGGCCGACTTGGCATCATCTATCTGTATAGTCAGCTCACCTATGAGCTGCCTCACTGGGTTCTCATTCCTACGGCCTCCCTTGATTTCCTGGACGGGATTCCTGGCTAAGCTTGCCGACTTGCTGCAGACCATCAACTCCCCAGTTCTTCCAGAAACACGGGCAGGCTTGCTAAGCAGTCTGTATCCTGGACACAGTTCCAGTCAGTGTTTATACCCCGCATTTATACGGGGTTAAAATCTCAATGTATCTGCTACTAAGACTTTATGCCCGTCAACCCCAAGTGACCTGAGGAAAGGTGACCTAGCCAGAGAGGCCTCTTACAAGGCTGGGCAGGGGAAGAGGTTGCAGGGTTCCTCTTCTGGGGTCGGCTTCATGCTGGGGTCACAGTAGCTCTCAGGAACCTCGTCGTGTGTGTTTCTGTGCACACAGCGGAAGATCGGGTACTGCGATCCTGTAATGACAAGGAAGATGCCTGAAGGGCAGCCTATGCCCTGGGATGCAGGCCATGGTGAAGATGCACAGGCATTCGGATGCTGATGGGGTGGGGGTGGGGTTACAAGACTGGTTAGTTCAAGTCCCATATCCCTCCATCTTGTTTGTTGATATAGACATACCTACATGGCTCTGCTGGGGGCTGTGGGTGTGCAAAGGTCACACACACACACACACACACACACACACACACACACACACACACACAGAGTTCTTGTCCCCAATGAGTTTACAAATCTATTCGTAAAAGGAAGATAAAAAAAATTTTATAGTTGTTGAAGATTACATGAGATTGGGAAAATGGCTCAGTCAATTAAGCCCTCGTACAAGGACCCACGTTAGATTCCCAGTGTCTGTCAAAAGCCAGGCATAGTGGCATGTGCTTAGAATCCCACAGTTGGGGAGGTGGAGACAGGTGGATTCCTGGAGCTGGCTGGCCAGCCACCTACCCTCATTAGTGAGTCCCAGGTCCCAAAAAGAGGTCCTCTCTCAAAAACGAGGTCGATACCTTCCTGAAGGATGACAGCCAAGGTTGTCCTCTGATCTCCACACACACACATGGACTCATGTGCACCCATGAACACATGTACTACACATGCACATACATGCATGTACACACACATGCACACACAGAGACAGTAAAGAGCTCACTAGTCGATGGAGTGAGCACAGACTGGGCACAAACAGAAACTTTTCTAAGATTCTCCAGAGGTGTCAGAGAACAAATGCCCCGGAGGGTCCAGCTGTGAACAGAGAAATGGCCAGGCTTGGGTGTGTCTGTGCACGTGTGTCAGGGAAGGGGGCTGTCCACTGGACTAACGTGGGAGGAAATGGGCTGCTAGCCAGGTGCTTGTGTGTACACGAGGTTGAAGCAAGGATATTCAAGAATTACAGAAGAGCAGCTACCGTCCTGCTTCGTAACACGTTTCACACGATCCCCTAACAGTTTCATGATCCCAGGCTTGGACTCCTCAGCATTGGCCCACTTCCCATGAGGCCGTGCTTCTCAGGACAGCGCAGCCCTGGTTCACCAGGGTAACCTCAGGGCCTAGCAGAGGTCTAAGCTGTTAGTACTCTTTTGGAAACCTAGTAACTGCTTTATGTTTTTGTTTTGAATACAAAGACTGGTTTCATTGCCTTAATAAGGACAAACTATTTTCTATAAAAAGCCAGTTATGGGTAATTCCTGGGTCTCAATTCAACTTTGTCTCTCTTCTGCCACCTGCTGGCAGAAGTTGGGTATTACTGGTGCCGTTATGAAGTGGGAGTAACTGTTGCCCTTCAAACTAGGCTAACAAATCTCTAATTCATTTAAAAACTGTGCTAATCTGTGCTTCTTACTGGTCAGGCATTTTTTAAAAAAGAACTCTAACTCACTACAATTTTAATTGTACCACGAAGGCTAACTTTTTTCTTTTACAAGTGTCTTTAATAATCTTTTATTACATTTGGTCTTTGACAGTTTTATACACACACACACACACACACTGCATTCTGATTGCTTCCACTCTCATCCTCCCACCCCTGTTATCACCTGCTCCCTACAGGGATTCCATGCCTGGCACTATAAATCCAGTTAAAAACCCATAGCTAAGAGGTGCTAGATTCTAGGGCAACCCACTGCTGTTCTCAAGGTCACCTCTAAAGGGACAGAACAACAAGCTGCCTTCTGGACACTTAGGCTGATACCCACAAGCAAATGCTACTCTCTGTCTTAGTCAGAGAAAGACATGGCACAGGATGCACGGACACACGGCCGTTCAAGAGACGGAGGGTACGTGATGGTCGGGTGCTCAGCCATAAACATTTAACGTCAGTGCCCCAATGTCATCAGTCACACATGTGACGCAGGGCTCCTTCTAGCTGGCCTTGTATGACACCCTGAGCCAGAGGGTAGCTTGTGTAAGAAATATGACAATTTGTAGGAGAGTTTTGAATCGGAGATAACCATTTATTGAAATTATTGTGGCAATAAAGGTGTCTATAGTATTTATATAACCTATAGCTATAATTCAAGACTGCTATTTAAAATGTTCCAGTCCAAGTATCAGCTGAGTTAAAAGCAGTTGTGACCATAAAATTAATAACAAACAGAGTCTTTTTTGGTATTAAAGTTTGTCTAGCAACATGCTTATATCCATTACATAGAATATATTTTATTTTGGTTGTGAGCTTAGCCTTTAACGGCCGAGCCATCTCTCCAGCCCTATATTTTATTTTAAAATTCTGATTTATTTTTATGTTATATGGGTATTTTGGCTGCATGTATGTCTGTATACTACATTTGTGCAGTAGCCACAGAGGCCAGAAGACAGTGTCAGATCCCCTGGAACTGAAGTCACAGACAGTTGTCAGCAGCCATGTGGATGCTGGAAACCGAACCTGGATCCTCAGGAAGAGCAGTCAGTGTTCTTAACTGCTGAGCCATCTCTCCAGCCCTAGGAGATATTTTTAAATTAAATTCAACCCACATTAAGCACATTGTGCTAAGTCACAAAGATGAATAAGACTCAGTCCACAGCCTGTGCATTTGAAACTCAGCTATTAGGGGATTAAGAAAAGATTTCAGCTGGCCTGTTCCTTTCCCTCCAGACCATGTGGCTGTAACTTTTCCACTTACAGCTCTGTGGATTGAAAAGCAAGAGTAAGGTACCCCAACTGCTTGGCACTCACAGACGGGAAACCTAATACATTTAGCCCAAATGATACAGGATACCATAGGAATGCTCTGTGCCTGGAAAGATGGGTCTTGCTTGGGGTTGTCTGGCAGATGGCCACCGCTTACCTCCCCTCCCATTGACTGCTTTTACATGCATTGCCCATTGTCCATGGTCCAGCTCCATGGAAAGGTACCAAACACATGAAATCAGAGGCTCTTTGTCTCTCCAATGTGGAGAAAATAGCAGCTTTATTGACTCTTGTTTCTGGTGACTGCAATGGTTTCTTTCTTTGGTTTAGCTTTAGTATCTGCAGAGAGGGATACTGTCACCTGGAGTCCTATTGTTCGAGACTGAGATGCAATGACCCCTCTGATTGCTAACAAGCAGGGGCAGGGTGGCGGGGCAGGTGCTGGCTGGCCTTCAGGTGGCAGGATGGACCTGAGATTGGTTGCCCTGGCTTGTACGCAGTCAGATTGATCAAAATAGAATTAAGATGTACTGGACGTTGAAGCAGAACTTGGGGAACAGTGTTGAGGTCTGTGAGACACACTAACTTGACAGTAAGACAGAAGAAACATCAAGAAAATAGTTGAGTAACTCCAGACTTGGAAAGACAAGAACCAACAGAGCCAAGCCAGGAGATGCACAGAGGTCTGAGCGTCATGGCTGATGGCCACAGCGATCAAGGGCCACTCTTGGGTACCGTCTTGAAAGAATGAAGTCTTGGATGATAGGATGCTGCCGAAATGGTAGATTAGCATAGGTGTGATCAGCTTTACCAGGGAGGGTGGGAGATGTCTAGGAGGGGGTTTGTGAGGAACAGATAATGGTTTCTGAAGGGCAAGGACTTGGGTTTTGTAGTGGAGGAGTACCCAGTACCAGCACACTTGTGCCGAGGACTGAGTTTAGCTGCATGCTTCATGTATCTGCAGTGCCCCGCCCATGCCCTGCATGTCTGCTGCCATCACTCCCGTGGGAGCACAGGGTTCCAGGTGTGTCCCCCTGTGGCTCTGAAGCCAGAGACGTTCTGAAGAGGAGCCTTGAAAACGAAGCATACGTGGAGATGCCTTTCCTCTTCCCCTCCCAGGTGACAAACAGTAGGAACTGGGGAACGTCTCCTTTGTGTCCTCCAGCAAACATTTCTAGCCTTCTGATGTACCACAATGCTGTCATCCACAGAGCTCCTGCTCAAGAGCCTCACAATCAAGCTCAAAAATGTTTTCGTTTTGTTTTAAATAAGTTTACAACTTTTGTCTCGAGCCACATTCACAGCTACCTTTGGCCACATGTAGGATGTTTCTCCATCATGTCCATTACAGAACAGAGAGGGGCCTGCCGAATGACCATCTGGATGGGCCAGCAGCATCCACCCAGGGAAGAGTGGCAGGGTTACATAGTTCTGCCCTTGTCTCACCACACCCACAAATCAATATCGTGCAGTCCCTAGACAGGGTGGGAGAGAATCTTCTACACATGTCATTCTGGATTGCAAATGACGCAATGACAGTTTTCACCTGAGCTAGCTGGGCACCACACCAGTTCGTAAGTGGTAGGGGAAGAGTTGGAAAATAGTCCATCTGGCTCTCGGGTTCCTACGTCAATGCTGAGATGCCCTGCTTATCTCTATAATGCCTTGGATAAAATCTTAGTAAATGATTTTGGCCTTTGGGCAGAATTATCTCCAGCTGTCTGACTCTGTCAAGACACAGTCTACAGGCATCTCATTTCCCCTCACAAACTTACAATAGAAGCCAGTTCAATCACTCTCCAGGCCACATTCTCGGCTCATGTGGCCTGAGCACAAAAAAATGGTACAAGAAGAGCTCATAAATTAATCCTCCAATTACCAGGTGCAATCATTGTTGGAATCATCAAGGCTTTGAGCATAAAAAACTCCAGCCCCCTTCCCTACCCCTGTGCACACACAAAGAACCAAAGACCTAAATTCCAGTCCCCAAAGCCATTAGGCCAGTGCTAAAGTTGGAAGTGAAAAAGTTAGAAGCATCTGCCAGGGGTGTTTGTTTCTGTTCGTGTGTGTGTGTGTGTGTGTGTGTGTGTGTGTGTGTGTGTGTGTGTTTATGTGTGTGTGTGTGTGTGCTAATTATTAAACTTGCACAGTTCATACTCTCAGATCCAAGACTGTGTATGTGTGCGTGTGTGCTAATTATCAGACTTGTAAACCTCATACCCTCAGATCCAATACTCTCTCTTTGTGTGTGTGTGTGTGTGTGTGTGTGTGTGTGTGTGTGTGTGTGTGTGTGCATTCACATGTATGAATGTCAGGGGATAACCTGAGGTATTGGTCCTTGGTTTCAACCTTGTTTCAGACAGTTTTTCTTTGCTGTTTTCTGCTGTGTAGGCCAGGCTAGCTAGTTTGGGAGCTTCTGGAGTTTTCCTGTCTCTGCCTGCCATCTCTGTAGGGGAGTTGAGATTGCTTATGCTCATGCTATGTGTCCAGCTTTACTTGGCTTTTGGGATTTGAACTTGGCTTTTGGGATTTGAACTCAGGTCTTCATGTAGAACCATCTTCCCAGACCAGATTCAAGTCTCTTGAAGAAAAATAAACAAAAACTATTCACCAAATTAATGTCCGGGGTGAGTCACACAGTCTTCCAGGTTTTAGAAAACTCTGAGGGAGGAGCGGGGGCGGACACAAAGCCTTTGTTTCTATAGTATCATCCCATAGAGAACAATTGTTTCAGGGTAACAACAGAAGAAGATGCCCTCATCCTAGGTAGGGAGAAGATTCTAACTATGTAGTATATGGGTGTTTCCTTGCAAGGAGGATCTCAAGTCACCTTGAAGGAGTCAATTTCTAGCCCCACGAGCCTGCCAGTCACATGCGGGTTTCCAGACACCACTTTCTTTATCTATCCTGACCGTGGAGTCACCAGGGGAAGGACCCTGGATCTATGTTATGGATGTGGACTCCTTCACACGTGTCGCCCTTCATATAAAACTACAGCCACATTTTGCTTTGAGGCCATCAAAACACCATTAAAAAATTTCACTGAAACTCCACCTTTCTCCTCAGCCCTATACTCCTATCTTCCTTTTGCTTGGAGAGAGGCTACATGCTTCCTCCGGCATGTGGGCTCCCTTCTTGCAACAGTTAATACATATGACATTGTTAGGCCAGGGGTCTTCTCTGGTTCTCCTAGCTGACTGGAGTAGGACACTGGATGAACCTGGGATTAATTTTTTTTTTTTAAATCAGGAGAATATGAAAACAGTAGATAACGATGGAAGCTGATGAGTGAAACCCAAGCCCCCCAAATACGTTGTTTCCCCTGACACCTTTAGATTTGAGAATGGCATTCACACCAGCCATCTACAAACTTGATTTATCAACTTTGAGACTCTAAAGTATGTGGGTATGTTCCCTGACTGTTGATGACCATAAATAAGCACAGGGACAGCTCACCTCAGCAGGCCTGTGTTGTTCCAAAGTTGTGTGGTTTGTTTTTCTAACTGAGTAGTCTCTGGGACACACCTTTGGGGCATGGTAACACTGCCCAAAGGGACACTAGCCCTTCTCTCCATCCCCTCTGCCCAGCTAAAAACCGTTAGATTACATTCCTGAAGCTAGCCCCCAAGGTCTAGTCCCTTATTTGGCCACTTCCTCTTCCTCAGGCTGACTACCAAGGTCCAGCTATCAAAGTATTGAAGCCCAGCAATCAAAAGCCCCCTTTGGCTCACCTAATTAACATGCCCACTCAAAATATCCTGGCCCATTCTGTCACAGACTCCCCTTTTCTCTTCTTAAAAATGACACCTACAAGGTCATTTGCTGCTGTTTTCTGCCTGAGTCAGAAAGCGGCCACTTTAACTTTTCTTCCCTCTCAATAAAGGATCTCTTTGTGAAAACAGGTGTTTGGGTGTAGTTTGTGCCTAATCTGGGGCCCAGGAGGACACTCCCGCTGTGGGGGGGGGGGAGGGTTGGTGTTTCCTTCATTGCCTGAGTGTTTCCTATGCCAGTGATCTTGAGCCGTGAAGGCCCTGGTAGGACAGTGAATGTCTGTTTCTGTGTGCTTGGTGCCCTGGCGGACTGTGTCAGCTGACCCCTGGGGTACCAGAGTGAGGCCTTTGGAATGATGATGTAGGCACCTGTGCACCAAAGCTTGGGTGAGCATCTCTGGTTGGCAGTATCCAACACGAACTGTCACATATTATTGCTGGAGGATGGTGCCTCTGCTGGAAGGGACTCCTGGGAGCTGGTTTCTTCTGGAGTCGGCCCACGTGCGTGCCCACTTGCTCACTCAAATCTGTTCTTTCACCGTGATAAACAGGGGTGTGAGCACAGATTTTCTGCATCTTTAAGTCCCATGGTTGGATGAGCCTGTGGGTTATCTTGGGAACCTCTAACACAATGTGTGTGAGATCAAAGCTCTTCCATTTTTACAGAATAACAAGTTAATCCTGTGATGGTGACTGTGTGACCATGGGATGTCCCAATCCTGGTCTCCATGGTGATTGTTTAACCACAGAGTGTCCCCACCTGAGGGCAGCCAATGAGAAATGGTGACAGGCAACCACCCACCTAGTGGTAAGATAAAGATAAAGTCTCTGGAAAGTCCCTAGAAGTGAGCCAATCAGAACTGTACCTGTACTAGCATCCCTAACTGATGTAACCTTGTGGGTTTTGCCTTTAAAAACTGAGCTTGCAGAGGGGTGGGCACTTCCTCCAGCCTCCACTGCGTTGGATGTGTTGGATGAAGTCCCTGCCTAAGCATGTATTGCTCTTGGATATCCCGAACTAACAACAGTGCACAAGAGCAAGCCATCTTGCACGTGGTTTATGTGGTGAGGGGCTCCCTCCCGCATCTGCCTTGCTTGGGCTTTCCACACAGGCTTACCTTTCCCACAGGTGGCGGAGCAGTCCGTTGTCCCCAGCTGCTTCCAGTTGTGGTCCCGGCTTCGCCTGGGGGGCTGTGCGGCTGGTGGCACCAAGTTGTCTGGTCGGTGGGGAGGGAATCTATCAGGATGTCTGACGGGGAAGGTCTGTGTGTGCGAGGATTCCGACGTCAAGACCTCAGGGGCCTCCCCACGTGAGTCTTCCTTCTCCTGGTTCTCCTCCCTCTCTTCTCTGTCCTCCGGGCTCCTGTCTTCGGCCTCCAACTGCCCATTGACAGGCTCTCCTAGGAGAGGCACACAGACACGTGAGGTTCCTGTGGACGCTGAGTTGAAAAAGGAGACGGCTTTGCCGCTGGACAGAATGCAACCCAAGTTCATTTGAAATCACAGGAGTACTTCTCTCGTATTTAAAACATTATTAAAAATCAGTAAGAAGGAGAGATGGCTCAGAGGTTAGAAGTACGGACTGCACTTCTAGAGGACCCGGGTTCAATTCCCAGCACCCACATGGCTGCTCCTAACTGTCTATATTTCCAGTTCCAGGGCATCCAACACCCTCTTCTGACCTCCTGGGGCACCAGGCACACATGTGGCACACAACAAAACACTCATACATATAAAAACGTGTAAAAAGATCAGTAAGACAATGTCAAAGGCCATAGGAAGACGGTCCCCTCCCCCACAAGCAAACAAACAGCCCCAAACCTCTCAACTTCACTCATAGTGAAATTCTCTCCTATGAAAACATGAACCAGGAGACCCTCAACTCTTTTTCTTTCTTTTCTTTCTTTCTTTTTTTAACCTCACACTAAGGATTACAGAGTTTGGAGGTTCAAGTCCCTAAGTCCTCTGCTGGAAGGTAAACTCCCCGTTCTTCATCGTGCATGAGCGTGCAAATAGATGCCAGCTTTTGGAGAGCAGTCTGGATTAGTGTTCCAAATTTTAAATGCACGTACGCTTTGACCCACTTATGTAGTTTCTGGAATATTTGCTGTACACACATTCTCATTATTTTACTTAAGGCTGTTCATAGAAATATGATTACTAAGGGCTGGAGAAATGGCTCAGCTGTTAAGAGTACTGACTGCTCTTCCAGAGGACCCAAGTTCAATTCCCAGCACCCACATGGCAGCTCACAACTGTCTGTAGCTCCAGTTCCAGGGAGTCTGATACCCTCACACAGACACACATGCAGGCAAAATACCAGTGGACATAAAATAAAACTAAATCACTAAAAATTTTTTTAAAAAAGTATGGTTACTAACATATTCTATGAAATAGCAAGACAACAGACTTTGGTGCGTACCAATGGTAAAAACCAAATGCCACCAATGCACAACTGTGAACTGGAATAAGCAAGAATGCAGCACCTAGACGTTCTAACCCAGCAGCATGGTGATGTGTTGTGTGGTGGACAAAACCCGCAGACTTGGGTTTGTGCACGCACGGACACACACGTGTGCAGCCGTGGCAGGTCGGTTTTGAGATATGGCATATCCTTGTTTCCCACCCTCTTCAAGTCTGAGAGAGTAGCTACGCTCTTAGATTCTCTTGCTTATTTTCATTTTAAACAGATAAAATTAAAGCCGTTTGGTGTGATGAGGACCACTCTCTCTTAGCACAGTGCAAACCTGGGTTATCAGGAAGGATAGAGCCGAGTTCTCGCAAGCATCAGTGGGGGTCAGGCAGGGTGAGGGAACGATGGAGCGGGCCTTTTTATTTATTTATTTATTTTTTATTTTATTTTGGTTTTTTGAGACATGGTTTCTTTGTGTAGCTTTGCGCCTTTCCTGGAACTCGCTTTGTAGATCAGGCTGGCCTCGAACTCACAGAGATCCGCCTGGCTCTGCCTCCCGAGTGCTGGGATTAAAGGCGTGTGCCACCACTGCCCGGCCTGGAGCGGGCCTTTTTAAACAGCGATGTCTGAAAGCTCAGGCAGGGCTAGAGGCTTTCCATTTCCCGAGCACCAAGGATGCTGGCATGAACCACACAATGTCCTTGGAGCAGGACCACATCCGGGGTGAGATGGCGGTCAGCTCTCCATCCCATCCTGTGTTCTTCGCCCCCAGCACAAGCTGGAGGGTTCCATGAGGCTCCTCCTATGAGCACCTCAGTAGAGTCAGTGCTCAGAGGGAGGGGGGAAGCGGGGGTGGGGGGGGTCCAGTGGTGCTTTAGCCCATCCTAGATACCCAGGGCCTTTTCTTACGCTTGCTGCACACATGTGTATACATGGACGCCTGTCATATGTGTATAGCCTCTGGGTTGACTGAGAGGGGATTTTCTGCCGACTTCAGCCAAGGGTGATGTTCAGGTTGGATTTGAGTTGACTAATTGAAAACAATGATATTTGATATGTAGACAAATGCTCAAATTTTCTGCAGACACGACTGTGTTTGAATAGAGAAGGGCAGGGCAGAATTCATTGCACTGTTAAGAGGGAGTCCCTCTGGGAGGAAAAGGGAGTTGAAGGCGGATGCTTTTTTTTTTTTTTTGGTTTTTCGAGACAAGGTTTCTCTGTGTAGCTTTGCGCCTTTCCTGGAACTCACTTGGTAGCCCAGGCTGGCCTCGAACTCACAGAGATCCGCCTGCCTCTGCCTCCCAAGTGCTGGGATTAAAGGCGTGCGCCACCACCGCCTGGCTTTGTTTTGTTTTAATTGATGTTATTATTACTTTTTTCTCTTAGTGTATGTATGTGTACATATGTATACCTCTGTTTACATGTACATGAATATACACATGTTAGAGTGCATTGAACATACATGTGCAGGCCTGCGGTTACAATCAAGAGTCTTTCTTGATTTCTCTCTGCTGTATTCAAGGCAAGGTCTTGTAACTGAACCCAGAGCTCACTGTTGGCAGCCAATCCAGCCATCCTGCCTGCGCCGGGGTCCTCTGTCTCCACCTCCTGAGTGGCTGCTGCGCCCACCTGGCCATTAAGTTGGTTCTAGAGATGTGAACTCTGGTCCTTCCCTTACTGGGTGTACAGCCCTGATGCTATTTTTAGAGCGGCTTTAGGTGGGCAGGAGACACAGAGTACCAGGGCCTGAGGTATTCTCAGGGATCCTTATAAAGGAAAGAGATGGGTACCTGAGAATCAGAGGAGATGGTACCATGCACAGAGCCCAAGAGGGAGTGAGACTTGAAATGTGTACGGTGTTGGTTTTGGAGGTGGAGGAAGGGGTCAGAGGCCATGGAGACTGAGGTTTCTAGAAGCTGAAACAGGAGAGAAGTGGATTCTGACTGTAGCACTCTGGTCTTGGCCTCATGAAACCCTTTCCAAACCTCTGACCTTCAGAACTGTAAGACAACTGTCTTCATCTTATTCTAAGATACTAGTTGGAAGGTCATTTGTTACAGCAGCAATAGGAAGCTGATGTACTCATCCCAGATGTGGGATCAGGATGTCTAACTTTGGCTTAGGATCAAGTGAATGAAATATCCTATCAGTGAGACTCACATGGAGAAACATGTTCTGATACCGAGTCTACTAACTTGAAATATGTGTCCATGGGGATTCTGTGCATTGTTCAGGACAGAGGGTAAAGGAGAGAGAGAGAGAGAGAGAGAGAGAGAGAGAGAGAGAGAGAGAGAGAGACTTTAAGAGAAAGTGACTCAGAATACTCGGTGGAAGGTAAGGGACCTTACCTGGTCTCCTGTGGGGTGGCACCTGTGGGCTGATGGCATTGTTCCCCATGATCACGTACTCGTAGTGGACTCCTGGGTTGGGCTGCTGGTGTATCATCTGAGGACACAAAGTCAGAGTCACCACAGCCCACACATACCCCAATTTCCTTCTGGCTTGGATCTCAATAACATAAGTGGTCCTGTAGTTAAATGTGCAAGTTCTCATCTATTACACAATAAACCTGTAGCATGGTAGATGAAGTTACTTCCAGTGGCTTCTTGTGGACTGTTCTGAAGAATTAAAGACTTCATGTGTTCATGAATCAGAAGAAAAGAGAGTGAACAGTCAAGATTCTATCAACACAAAAGTCAGGGTTTTAAGCCGGGCGGTGGTGGCGCACGCCTTTAATCCTGGCATTCGGGGGGCAGAGCCAGCCGGATCTCTGTGAGTTTGAGGCCAGCCTGGTCTACAGAGTGAGATCCAGGACAGGCACCAAAACTACACAGAGAAACCCTGTCTCTAAAAACCAAAAAGAAAAAAAAAAGAAAAGAAAAGAAAAGAAAAAAAGTCAGGGTTTTATAAAGTCAAATTGGACAGGGTCTACGGTAGGAGAAGCTGTGGCTGGCAGCCATCCTCAGCCAGGGCTTGGACCTGTGGCCTCTAAATGTCCCCTATTTGAGCACTAGGTGGTGACACAGAGTCAACCGAACAAGGAGCAGATCTGGGCAGGATGGGCCTAGAATAACAAGGGCCCTTCAATCCCTCTAGGCCTGTCAGGCTGGCGGTCCTCAGTCCTTTCTCTTGTAGGTTCCCTGAGTCTCACTCACTTTCACACATAGTCAGCCTCAGAACTATAATGAAATGGAGTGGAAACCCAAAACCCAGATCAATCAATCAAACAAACAACAACAATAACAACAAAAAACCCAAACAAATAAAAAACAAAAATTCCCACATATGAAAAATGTAAGTCTGCCTCCGTCGTGTTCTTCGAGGAAGCAAAGATAAAAACAACCAACCAATCAAAAGATAAAAGTAAGGAGGATGGCCAGCAGGAGGCTTTGTGGGCTGCACAGGTCTGGAACAGAGGCCCAAGGTAAGTGAGGGAGGCCAACAGAATTAATCCATGTCTACCAGCCCTTCCTGTGTGCACAGCTGTGATGGTAGGAGGCAGGGTGACGGGCGGACGGGAGTCCCAGCACTCAAATCTACACTATAATTGGAAGCCAAGGCAGGGGACATTGTCTTGTCGGTATTTCTGCTCTGTAGAGTGGCTCTTACTGGCCAGCTGTGCAACCCAGAGCCAGGCACTGGATCCCTAGTTTTAACTTCTTCATCAGGAAGAGAGAGGAGAAGAATGACCGATTTTGAAGTCTTGTTACCCTGCAAGTACCCAAGTCACATCTGCACTGGAGCCCTGCATATCTCTATCCTGATCCCTACTAGAGGCAGACAGATGAGAGAAGCACTGGCCTCCTCACAGCACAAGACCAACTCATTGGCATTGCAGAAACATGACCCTGAGCACCGGACCCCTGAGGGACACAGCTTACGTGGCTGCAGGACCTTGGTGCCTGCTCCAACCCCCTTAATTCCCTTTGCACACCCTGTTTCTCCTTCTGCCCTCCCCCGTGCCTCTTCTGTGTGAGGAAACACCCTGGGTTCGGTCACTGAAAGCCTTATGCTGTTTATTGGGTTATTGTTGGCCACCCTTCCTAGACCACCCACAGGAGGCTTTCCCTAGAGGAGCCTTCACCTCTGATACCATTCAAATTCACCCAGAGCCAACCAACCAAGTAGATGACTCACAAAAAACACCCCAAATTAACTAAAACAAGGCGTCTTTTGTAACTTTTACCATACTATCCCTTAAGAGGAGCAGACCAGAACTGTAGAGCTGCAGGAGCAATCACAATGAACGCTGTTTCTAAGACCCCACACAGCAGATATTAGAGACCAGCATGGCTCTGAGGACAGTAGACATTTGTGTATTTATTTTAAGCTTTTGTTTCTTGTCACCTTTTAGTTCCTCATCTTTTCAGAAAACTGGATTCTAGTGGCTTCATGTGTGTGCGTGCCCATGTGTATGTGTGTACGTGGAGGTCAAAGGTTGGGTGTCATGACTCGGGAGCCGGACCCCCCCCCCCCCCCCCCCCCCCCCCCCCCCCCCCCCCCCCCCCCCCCCCCCCCCCCCCCCCCCCCCCCCCCCCCGGCACTGTTTGAGACAGGGTCTCTGACTGGGACCTCGGGCTCACTATTAGGCTAGGCTGGCTGGCCAGCAAGTCCCATCGATTTTCCTGTCTCTGCCTCCACATCCTGGGATTACAGGCATGTGGCACCACACCCATCTTTTACATGGCTGTTGAGGCTGGAACTCAGGTTCTCATGCTTACAAGACAGGCACTTTATAGACAGAGTGAGCTCCCCAGGTCCCTCTAGCAGTTTTTTTTTTTTTTTTAAAAAGACCATTAGAGACAACTCTTTAATTTAATATTAATTTTCTGGCTTCAAGTACGGTGATCACAGCCCTGTCTGTATGAAGCAGAGCATGCGTGTGCAGCTAAAGCTTCATCGGGTCATCGGGGTCCCCTCGAGTGTTCCTTCTCCATTTGCCTTGATGGGGTTGAGAAGGCTGGGCCTAGAGCGGGCTGTCTTGCACTTGGCATTTTCTTCCTACTGCCATAGAAGAAAACACGCCAAATTGGCAGTGAGAGGAAGGAGCCTGGAGGAGCTCCAGGGCTCATGAAACAGGGCATTTGTTTGCTCTGCTTCGGTTCAACAAGTAAAATCGGTTTTACTGGGTCCATAAACTCTGAGGGTAAGAAAGCACCTGGTAGACTTTATGGTTTCTGTGAGTCTTGTACATTCAGGGGTAAATGTCGAAGACCAATGCCAAACATTGAAAGGGGTCCCTCAAACAGGCTCCACTCAAATGATTTTTTATCAAGCCTGGGCCAAGACATGTGGTTTATTTGTTCAGAGTGATAGGTTCCCAAGTCCAGAGGGCACCCCCCCCCCCAAACACCCAAACTCACATAGACATCCAGGATCTCATTGGTGGGACCTTCAGCCAAAAAGGACTCCCCAGCAGTGCTGGAGATCTCATTGGGTCGCTTGTAGGTGAACATCGTCCCTCCACCCTCATACTTCCCCGGGCGGTCAATCGCCCAGTTCCCATTGATGATGGAGCGGCCAGAGCGACTTCGCAAGGCTGTGGAGACAAATGAGGCAGTTTCTCTGGTAAGCTCAGGGTGTGCACAAGAAAACAATTTAGGAACCAAAGTCATTCATCTAATGGCCCTGGGGTATGCATAGGGTTTGTGAGCACACCACCTCTGGCCTGATCACTCCCTCACCTCAACGATTCCCTTCCATGTGGACTTGGGAAAAAAGGAAGGATGGGTGGGGGTGGCTGGGAGAAAAGGATGTGAAACAGAGGGACAAAACAGCAAGGGGAGAATCAGGCACGAGGGAGGGAAACTGCTCCACGTAACTGTGCCATTACTGAGGTGAGGGAGGGCCCTTCAGCCCATGGATGAGCTTCGTTTGGCTTTTGTAGTGTTTTTGTTTTTTATTTTTTGTTTTGATATAATGAAGCCTAAAATTGGGAGATTTCACATTTAAAAAAATGAGAGTCTTGGCTTTTCTTGTAAAACAGGAAGGCATGTTAACCACGAACACTGGCCCTACATTCTCCCAGGACGTAGGCAGCAGGTACTCAGAGGGACGCCTCACTTTCCAGGGGTCTGAAAGCTCTGATCAGTCCCTGTCCCCACGCACTGTCCGTCATTCCTCAACAGTGAGGCCTGTTGTTTTTAAGTAAACCTCGGTCATTAGATTTTACCAATAAAGACTCAGGGGCCAGTAAATAACACAATCTTGGGGTTCACAATGTGATCAAATACCCTGCAACATTTCTCCCCTTTTTTGTCTAAATAAAAGGGAAGTTTTTAACTCTAACACAGTAAAACCATCTACAATAATGAAGCAATCTTTGCCAAGCTTTCCACAATGTCCAGCTCGGTTGTATTTGGCAGTCTTAGCATGAAGAATTTATGAGTTCAAAGTTCTGTAAAATGTCTGTGTCAGTCTCATAGGAACTCAGAATCTGAATGTTCGGAGCAGTTTGTAGTCCGAAGCTGATCTTTGGGTGGTGTCTGTTAGCTTAGCGGCAATCCTGGCAGGGTAGAATACAATCGTCAAACCAAAGGTGTCCACTGTTTGAGCAGAACATCGGGGTTTTGGTGGGGAGAGGGTGTCCACGGGAAGGGGCAGTGCTCGGGCAAGATGGCGGCCTGGGTGCTGGCGCTGGCCTGGAGCTCCAAGCTGGGATTTTCAGGCCAGTCAGCTGGAGCCGAGAGACACCACTTGGCCATTTTGCTCTTTTTCTTGGGACATTTTCTCTTGATCCATCCTTTTTCTTCAGATGTTTCACTTGTCCAGTGGTCTCTGGATTCCTTAGTTGGATGTTTTTATTTTCTTGGAAAGATAAAAGCAAAACTCTGCCCTGACCCTAATTCTGGGGGGTTCCTTTTTTGGCAGGTTATATCTTTCCTAGGGCAAAATGTTTTTTGGCAACAGAAAAAGTATCTTTCAATTAAAATTTTTTTAATAAGAAACTAAATATACCTGAGAATGTGTGGATAAATATACCCATATTAACCTTTCTCTTTATATGTAACTTCAAGGTTAAAATGTATTTATTTCTAGATTACAAAGGATATTTGTTTTGAATCTTAGTCTGTCTTTTGTAAGCACAGCTTTTAAATTTAAATCACTGTAATTCTTATGTGTCTGCCTCTGCCTCCCAAGTGTTGGGATTAAAGGTGTGAACCACCGCCTGGCTATGGATTCCTTATAGTGGTTATTCTTATAGGGTTATCCTGGTTTGGTTTGGTCCTCCATTTCCCCTTATTTTTTAGTGTTAAGGGTAAACTTTCAAGTATTCTGAATGTGTAATCTATCATTCTTGCTGATTTATTCTAAATTTATTTCCTGGCAAATTTTAATATTCTAGTCTTAGTTAGACATGATGCCAATTTGTCTACTATTTCATTATTTTCAGATGTTTTGTCTGTCTTGCTTGTATGAGCTACATAAATTTTGATGTCTTTGCTAAGTTTTGCTAGGTTACGCCATTTCCATTCATGCCTCCCATGACCAGACATCTTTGCCATTGATCTGCCAGTTATCGGTTTTCCATTCTGATGACCGTGTGGCTATACCACCGCACTCGCACCATGAATTGGAGAAGACAGAGACTTTCCTTTTGCTTTCCTGGTGGTTTGTCTTATAGCAATAGCGCTGTGCTGATTTTGTGGTTCCTTCCTCAGTATTGGCCATTCCACCCCCTGGTCTATAGGCTGCCGCCTTGGTCCCATCATTGGTCTATGAACCATTAGTACACCATGCATTAGCCAAATGTTGCGACCATTCCGTTGATCCCCATGGCTCAATAGGTGATTCTTGGGGGAGGGGTGAATGCAATCTTGGGGTTCACGGTGTGATCAAACATCCTGCAACAGAGGCTGAGTCTCATTGATGAACACAGATCTTTTATGACAGTTATGGTGTTTGCCCTTCTCTTTGCAGGATAGCATTTTTCTTATAATCCTGATTGTACACTTACCAATGGTGGCTAAGTCTTGCTTGTAATTCTGACTGTAGGCTTACCAACAGGCGCAAAGCCAAGAGGGCCACATGGTTTTCTAGTCTTCCTGGTCATGTTTGTTCTTTTTTTATTTCCTTTCTTACTTCTCTGGGCTTTTTAAAATGCATATTTATGTTCTCTCTCTCTCTCTCTTTCTCTCTCTCTCTCTCTCCCTCTGTGTGTGTGTGTGTGTGTGTGTGTGTGTGTGTGTGTGTGTGTGTGTGTGCCTGAAGCTTGATGTCAGGAGTTCTCCTCAATCATTCTGAGTCTTATTCACTAGGTAGGGTCTCTCAACTAAACCCAGACCTTGGATATGGCTAGCACGGCTGCCTTGTTCTGGGGCTCCTATCCCCACAGAGTGATTTGACTACTGGTGGACTTCCATTCCTACCCAGAATTTACCTGAGTCCTGGAGATCTGAACTCTGGTCCCTGTGCCTGTATGGAAAATGCCTTACCTGCTGAGCCACCACCCCAGCCTCTGTGGGCGTTTGAGCCTGTGGGCTGTGTTGGAGACTTCTGTTTGCTGTCAAATGTAATCCTCACTATGTTGCTATTGTTAGCCTCATTCTCCAGACACTGGCTGCTGTGGTTTGAATGTGAGGTGTCCACCACAGACTCACGTACTGAACACTTGGACTCCAGATGGTGGTTACTGTTCGGGAAGGCAGTGGAACCTTTAGGCAGTAGAGCCTTGCTGGAGGAAGTAGGTCACTGGGGGGTGGGCCTTGAGGGCTTATAGTGGAGCCCTACTTCCTGTTCATCTTCCTTTGCTTCCCCTACAGCTACAATGTAACCAGCTGCTGCCTCACCTTACCTCCATGGCTTCCCCGACACTGCCTGGCAAAATAAACCCTTTCTGCCTGAAGTAACAACACACCTCTTCAGGGACAGGAAGTGACTTGTTTAAGTTCACGAGGACTTGGGCTAAGGGTAAGGGAGGAGAGAAGGAGAAGGGAAGGACGGAGTTAGACTAATGGGAGGACAGTACGGGAAATTTTCAGAAACATTTGGCACCTTGAAACCCACATGACAATGATGGATTAGGCTTAAAGATGTCCCTGTTTTCATACGTGTTGCCAAACTACCTTCTGATATTTATGTTTTTACCCAGTGATTAGTGCGGCTCTCAGCCTTGGCTAGAGGTAGCCATGCAGAGACTCACAGCTGGGCAGAGTGCGGAGAGAAAGTGACTGCTGAATGCTCAGCCCTCAATGAGGCGTCTCCATCAATCCCCCAAGGCTCGCTCCATATCCCGGGGGAAGAGGCAGAACGGATGTGAGCGCCAGTTGATGGGGAGGAGCGCTGAGAAATGCTGTCTTCCGGACATGGCCTGGCCATGGCACTCATGGACTCCCTGCCGCTACGGTTGCCAGGACAACACGGAGCCAACAAGGACAGCGAATCTTCCCAGTAGGCAGCGCTAACTGGACCCAACAGGTGACAGCAGTAAGAGGAGGGCATGAAGGTGGGAGGGGACACACTGAGGGCTGTCTGGAGGGAGTGGCAGGGGGTGCTTCGGAGGGTATCATCAAGATTCAGGACATGTGTGGAACTGTCAGAGGATAAATACAAAGGTATTCTAAAAAAAAAAATCAACACAGATGTTTAAAAAAAGGACATCTCCATTTTTAAACACCACAAACATAGCAGGCCTTCATCTCTTTGTGCTTTCACTTTGCAGAATAGATCAATTTAACTCTTAGGAACTCCATTGTGGAAATTTCGCTGTAAACAAAGTTAGACAGGAACTGTCTGATTAACATCCACTCTCACTGTCTATCACCTACGGCCTATCATACTGCATTCTGCAAAGCCAAGACTCCACTTATTCTTAGTATAAGGATTCTTTTGTTCTCAAAGCCATTATCAGCAGTGTTTCTGTAGCTGGCTTTCCCAGAGATGAGGCCTTCATAGTCAGGAGCTTCCTGAAGGGACAGAAGAGTCTCCTCCATACTTAGGCATCCCCCAGACCCCCTGAACACTCCAGCCTGACTGGAACAGCAAAAGTCAAGGGCAGAAACTAAGGAAGAGTATATTGAGCACCTTAACCATGTATTACAGAGGCTGACCATATAGACAGCTCGGTTGGTAGCATGCCTGCATGACATGCAAGAATCCCCAACTTCTGCCCCCAACACTGCATAAAACTGGGTGTGGGTAGCTCATCCTGGAAAGTCAACACTTGGGAGTAGAGGCAAGAGATCAGAATTTCAAAGTTGCTTGGTTACCTGGTAAATATGAAGCCAGTAGGGACTACCTGAGATTCTGTCTAAAAGGAGGAGGAAGAGAAGGAGGAGGAGAAGGAAGGAGGAGAAGGAGAAGGAGGAGGAGGAGCAGGAGGAGCAGCCCCAGCAACCCCAGCAGCAGCATCACACTTAGGGGGCTGGAGAGATGGCTCATGGATTAAGAAACTTGCTGCTTTGGCAGAGGACCAGGGTTCAATCCCAGCACCCACTTGGTGGCTTACAACTGTCTAAATCTCCAGTCCCAGTGGACGATCCATCCTCTTCTGGTCTCTGTAGGCACCAGGAGTCTTGCACATGGTGCGCAGACATGCATACAGGCAAAACACCCATATACCCAAAATAAAAATGAATACATTTTTAGAAAAGAAGCACATTTGGGGCTGGAGAGATGGCTCAGCAGTTAACAGAGCCTGCTTGCTACTCTTCCAGAGGACCTGGGTTTTGTTCCCATCACTCAACACTGGGTGGCTAATAACCATGTGCAACTCTAGCTCCCTCTTCTGGTCTCTATGGGTAACTTCCACATGAAGTGCATGTGAAAACATGCTAAAAAGAAAAAAAAAAACGCAAACAAACAAAACACGCAGGCAGCTCATTTCTCTGAATCATCTAGACAAGGTTTCTTTTGGCTTCTCTTCTCAACAGTCCATTGAAAGAAATTCAAGTGAATGTCATTACTACTTCCATGTTACTTCCTGGGTAATAGCTGATGGTATTCACAACATCTCCACAAAGCTATCCTTTAATCCAGAAATGCCCCCCTCACCTCGAAGTCTTTTTTTTTTTTTTTTCCCCGAGACAGGGTTTCTCTGTGTAGCCCTGGCTGTCCTGGAACTCACTCTGTAGACCAGGCTGGCCTCGAATTCAGAGCTCTGCCTGCCGCTGCCTCCCAAGTGCGGGGGTTAAAGGTGTGTGCCACCATCACCTGGCAACCCCTAAATCTTACTCATGCCTTATGCCGGTTTCCTCTGGAAAGTCTTCTGCCCCGACCAGCCCGCTTTTTCCTTCACGTTCTCTACGAGACACAGAGCCTCCCTGTAAGGCCGCCACCATTTGTCCCCCACCAAGTGCCAAGAAGGTCAAGGTGCTGATGGTTATTCCCAGCCACAGCTCCAGGGTGCAGCACACTGCTAATCACATAGAGATCTGCTGAATGTAAATACTCAAGAGGAAAAGAAAAAAACAAACAACAAACAAGAAAAAGTCAGAGAGAGAGCAACAAACAGGCGATTCAGAGACCCAAGTTCAAGTGTGCCATAAGCAAATGAAGTGTTCTGCCAACCTCTAACACAAACTCAAACCACTCCGAGGTATTTTTGACCTGCTGTACTGGATTAACATTAAAAAAATTCAATATTACCAATATTGTCAGGTACAAAGTAAGCAAGTCCCCACCATGCAGCTGATGAGAATTTAACTTGGCTCTGTCCCACGGGAGGGCAATTTGATCTCACTGTTAAACCCCCCCCTGTGTACTTTGGCTAAAGAATTCCACTGGGAAAGTACCGGAGCAATCTATTTCTGGAAGTAAAACAAGTGTTTGTGATGCTGCTGCTCCCTAAGTACACAGACTATCTCAATGTTGACCAGCACAAGATTGCTTAAGTAAACTATAATACTGATAGCCACGCAATGGAAACCCCAATGCTCCAAAGTGACTGAGAGGAGTCTGGGTGTAGGAAAGACCTCCAGGATATATTTTTTAAAAGTGTGTCTGTATGATGTGTTAATGCACGTGTGTGCATGCAGGTGCTTGTGTGTGCCACAGTATACTGGTAGAGGTCAGCGAATAACCTGGGGAGTCAGCCCCCACTTTCCACTTTGTTTCAAAATGAATTTCATCACCATATATTTAGCAGGTTACTAGCCCTCAGGCTTCTAGGGATTCTCATGTCTCCACCTTTCATCTGGCTGTAGGAAGGCTGGGATTACAGATATATGTTATCACATCTTGTTTTTATGTAGGTACTGGGCATCACGCCTGTGTGGCAAGCACTTTGCTCACTAGGTCATGCTCCAGTCCAGTGATTTAAAAATGATACTTAAGAAACAGCTGGGTGGTGGTGGCACACACCTTTAATCCCAGCACTCGGAAGGCAGAGGCCAGCCTGGTCTACAGAGTCAGTTCCAGGACAGGTAGGGTTACACAAAGAAACACTGCTCAATAAATAAACAAAAAAACAAAAAACAGAAATGAAGATCTGTGTGATACTATTGGATTGAGCATGCTTTTCAATGAAACTTTCATGTATGTTGTATGTAAATGTACACAAAACTATTTAGAACAGCAGTCACACACCTGTGAGCATTTGGGACAGGAACTGGAGAGAGGTTAACGTGGAAGAAGAGAAGGAAGACATTTAGTTCCCATCTTGCCCATGCCGGTAGTGGGATTAAAGGCATGTGCCACCATGCCCACAGCCTCATTTTGTCCTTTCCGTATTGCTTAAAATTATTTCACCATATACATGTGTAAATATTTAAAAATTAAAATACACAGGCCATGGTACAAGCAGAAACCCCTCTGCAGGGTTAATAACCCACCCCATCAGCTTCTCCCATTTACAGCGTCTGAAACAGGGTAGCTTCTGGCTAAGGTTTTATTGCTGGGAATGACAATATGGAGGAAGAGGTAATTCTTTGGAATCTCAGAAGCATCTGGAATACTCCACAGGGGGAAGCAACCTGGAGATCCGGAGTCTTTTTACCATTGGCTGCCATTCCCACCACACCCCCTCTGAAGGTTTAGATGGCCCTTCCTCTGTGCAGTAGCAAGTAACTGAAAAGAACCTATCAGACCATTAGCGATCTGGTCATGGTTCCAGGTGGCCCGGCTGGCTTCTGACGGAGCTCCAGACAGAGCCCCAGACAGAGCCCCATCTGGCCGTGCAGAGAGAGAACAGTTGTGGCCACACATTATGTGCCTGTAAACAGCTCCGGGCCTGGTCTCAGAAAAGGTACAGGCGGGTTTGGTGAGGACTAAGCTCTGGCAGAGCCTACATGACGGCAGCCTCGGTGACTGTGAGAAAGTCTTCACTCCACTCAACACGGGGTTTTATTTCCGGGTTAGAAGCCTACTGTTGATGAGTGCACTTTTGGGCCAAAGTCTGTGCACTAGCAGTGCCCACCCCTGAGATCCCTATAGAAACAGCTTATGAATGCGGTGCTCCCGCCTTCCCCGATGACCCTTTTTTTAAAACAAAGACTCAGTGTGTGCTTCAGGCTAGCTTAGAAATTGTGATCCTCCTGCCTCAGCTTCTTCAATGCTGGGGCTATGGGCCTGTACTACCTCACTCACACGTGTGTGTGTGTGTGTGTGTGTGTGTGTGTGTGCACTCGTGTGCACACTGGTGTCCAGGAAGGCCAGAGGAGGGCACGATCCCCCTGGAGCTGGGGGTATAGGCAGTTTTGAGCATGTGAACCAAACTTGAGTTTTGAGTATGTGAACCAAACTTGAGTCCTCTAGAAGAGCAGCGTGCACTCTTAATTGCTGAGCCAGGTCTCCAAACCCTGAGGCTTCTTAACTTCTGAGAGAAGGGAACCTTAATTAAGAAAATGCCTCCATAAGACTGGGCTGTGGGCAAGTCTGTAAGGCATTTTCTTAATGAGTGATTGACGTGGGAGTGTCCGGTCCATTGCTAGTGGTCTTGGGTTCTATAAAAAAGCAGGCTGAGCGAGCTGTGAGCAGCAAGTCCGTAAGCACCACTCCTCCATGGCCTCTGCTTTGGTTCCTGCCTTGAATTCTTGTGACTTTCTTCAATGGTGAACTGTGATATGTAAGCAAAATAAACCATTTCCTCTGCAAGCTGCTTTTGGTCATGGTGTTTATCACAGCAATAGTAACCTTAATTAAGATAAGCCCCCCCCCCCCCATTTGAATGTCTACAAAAAAATAAAAAGAAGAAAAATAAAAAAGAGAAAAACAGGCAATAAACAACAACAAGAACAAAGCAAAAACTCCCTGTGTTATTATACCACAACATTGTTTTTAGTTACTATTTTATAAATGCATTTCCATATAATTGGTTTCCATTGTATTCTTCTATATTTTACTTTATGAATTTGAAGCTCAGCCCTCAGCAAGTCTTCTGCAGATTGTCGAGAGGTCTTGCTACATCTTGACAGCCCTACTTATGAGTTTTAATGTTGAGGGCTGGGGTGGTGGTTTAGTGGGTACAATGGTTGCCCGGCAAGGACGAGAACACGAGTTCAGATACCCAGAACCCGCATAAAAGCTGCCACGGTGGTACACATCGGTAACCCAAGTTGTGGGCTGGGTTGAGGGGACAGAGGCCAGCAGATCCCCGGAGCCTGTTGGACAGACACTCTAACTGACCTGGTGAGCGCCAAGTCCAGTGAGGGATCTTTAAAAAGTAAGCTGGAGTGATTAAGATAGCCACCATCAACTCTGGCCTACACACACACACACACACACACACACACATACACACACACACACACACACACACACACACACACACACACACACACACGAACATACTACACCCACAGAAATTAAGAAAAAAAGAACCCTAATGTTTAAACCATACTCCCTTCCTCAGGCATAAATCGGTAGACACACACCAAGCTGAGTACAAACTCTGTTACCAAAACAAAAATCAGACACACCTCCTGAGGCAGACCAGGTCCAGTGTGACGGAACAGCCATTGATGGTCCTTGTTAAATAAGCACTCAAACCTGGCAATCCCTCTGTTCACGTTCACTTTGGTGTTCTTCCCTGGGACAGACTCAAACCTATGTGTCTGCAACGTACCTAATAATCACACTTGGACCAGAACTAAGAGAGTCTCGGAGCAAGAAGGCTGGCGTCCTCTGGGTATTCCATGATCACAGGTTGTGGGGCTCAAAAAAAGGGAGACGCCACGGCTTTGTTCCTATTTCATTGCTAAACTGTAGCTAAGTATGGGTAATTATCATTCTTTAAAATATGAGAACATTCGATTAACTCTGACTCCAAATTTCCTTTGAATCCTTAATGACTTAAAAGAGTATATCTGTGTTGTCCAGCCTTGGATAATGCATGAAATGGAACCATGAATGGCTTGGCAGAAAAGAAGCTAGGCAGAGTAGTCAGGGTGGGGGGGCAGTAAAGAAAAGGCAAAGCCTGGGACTTGGGGAGCCCCAAGTCTCCTGGCACCAACACAACACGAAGAGAGGCTGGTCTTACTTCCATGGAGGGCTGAGGCTCTTGGGGAAGGCTGGCATTTGAGCATGGATCTGTAGTGAGGGGACCGAATCTCCAGACAGAGCAGGACGAAGGGCATTTGGGACTGAATGGCTAGAAGCACACTGCAGGGTTCTTAGTTCGGATTTCCATTGCTGCGATAAGACACCATGACCAAAAGCAACTTGGGGAGGAAAGGGTTTGTTTCAGCTTACAGTTCCACATCACAGCCTATCACTGAAGGAAAGTCAGGGCAGGGACTCAAGCAGGGCAGGAACCTGGAGGCAGGAGCTGATGCAGAGGCCACGGAGGGTGATGCTTACTAGCTTGCTTCTTCATGGCTTGCTCAGCCTGCTTTCTTATAGCACCCAGGACCACCAGCCCAGGAGTAGTACTGCCCACAGTGATCTGGACCTTCCCACATCAATCATCAACCTAGAGAATGCACCACAGACTTGTCCACGCTAATCGGGTAGGGGCATTCTCAACTGTAGTTTCCTCTTTGGAAACGACGCTAGCTTGTGTCATTTTGAAATAAAACTTGCCAGCACAGAGGAATGGTGGGCTGTTGTGACTGTAGCAGGAATCTAGGGTGAGTCTCTCTGGAAATAAGATTGGAGAAGACTCTAGGAAGCCTGAGGACTCTGGGTACTGGGGAGACATGAGAGGCTCCAGGAGATCCAGGCTTAGGAGCCAACACTGGCTACACTATATATATATATATAAAGTCTAAAAGTCCTTTCCCATCACAAACATGTCCTAGGCATCTGATGTATCTCCCCTACTCTCAGATCCAGCTCAGTCCATTTGCCACACATACCCACCAGACAGAGGGATTCTGGGAAGGTCATTCCAACAATAGGTCTTGCAGAAACTCAGCTCTAGCGATGCTAGTCCACTTCCCGATGCCCATCGTTAAAAAGTACCATCCCACGGGGCGTGGTGGCGCACGCCTTTAATCCCAGCACTCAGGAGGCAGTGAGTTCAAGGCCAGCCTGGTCTACAGAGTGAGATCCAGGACAGGTACCCAAACTACACAGAGAAACCCTGTCTCAAAAAACAAAAAAACAAAACAACAAAAGAAAGTACCTGCTGTGGGATGTTCTGTATGTCAAATGTGTTGCTCTGATTGGTTAATAAATAAAACACTGATTGACCAGTAGCCAGGCAGGAAGTATAGGTGGGACAAGCAGAGAAGAGAATTCTGGGAAGTGGAAGGCGGAGGCATAGAGACGTTGCCAGCTGCCGCCACGAGAAGATGTTAAGATACCGGTAAGCCATGAGCCACGTGGCAACTTATAGATTAATAGAAATGGGTTAATTTAAGATATAAGAATAGCTAGCAAAAAGCCTGAGCCATTAGGCCAAACAGTTTAAGTAATATAAGTCTCTGTGTGTTTACTTGGTTGGGTCTGAGCAGCTGCAGGACTGGCAGGTGAGAGAGATTTGTCCTGACCTGGGCAAGGCAGGACCAGGAAAACTCTAGCTACAAGTACCATCTCATTACACAGGTTTAAATTCTGGCAATCATCTTTGATTCTTGTTTTTCTTCCTCCTTGGTCAGGGACTCTACCACTATCTCCTGAAATCTGCTGTCATGCTGGTCTCCTCCTTCCCCTCTACCCAGTCACCTCATATATCCAAGGTTCCTTAGCCTCACATCCAGACCACAGCAGAAGTCTAACTATGGGTCTCTGCATGCTACCCAAGATCTTCTCCCAGTACCATTATTTCCTCTCGCCTGTCCTCTGCCACCTGATTTCCATCCCTAAATTATAAAGCTCACTCTCCTCCGGTGCATGGTGAAGGGCTTGTGTGATCTGACCTGTCCACCACTCACACAGCCCTCTCACTGTCAGCCAGACTCTTCTGGGGGCAGGAGTGCTGCCTTGTTTCGTATTTCAACCAAAAGTCACTGAGCAGATACTGTTGAATGATGTCCCCATCTTCCCGAGGTCAAGGTCAAGTGCTGGCCATTTAACAACACCACCAACCACCTCTTTGTGGGCCTGACACCAGCCCACAGGGTTATCAGCTAAAGTTTAAATCACAGGTCCATTAGACAGCAACACACACACACACACACACACACAAAACACACACACACACACACACACACACACACACACACACACACACACACACACACACGGTGCTCCCACTCCAAGTACATCTTTTAATTAGGGTACACATATAAACCCATGACTATACTGATTCCATATTTATTCTAAGCAATTTTTCCAAAGGCCACTCAAAACTGGTGGTTTGGGTACCTTTTTTAATTACAAAAATTGGTGACTAAAACAGATGGTTGAAGCTTAGGTTTGAACATAATGGCTCACTCACTCCTGAGCCAAGCAAGTGGTGTCTCAATCAGTGTTCTATTGCTCTGAAGAGACACCATGACCACGGCAACTCTTTTTTTTTTTTTTTTTGTTTTTCGAGACAGGGTTTCTCTGTGTAGCTTTGCGCCTTTCCTGGAACTCACTTGGTAGTCCAGGCTGGCCTCGAACTCACAGAGATCCGCCTGCCTCTGCCTCCCGAGTGCTGGGATTAAAGGCATGCGCCACCACCGCCCGGCCGACCACGGCAACTCTTAGAAAGGAAAGCATTTGATTGGGGCTGGCTTACAGTTTCTGAGGTTCAGTCCATTGTCATCCTGGCAGGGAGCATGATGGTGTGCAGGCAGACAGGGTTACAGAGAGTTCTAGATCTAGATCCACACAGGCAGCAGGAAGAGCGAGACACCAGGCCTGGCTTGGGCTTTTGAAACCCCAAAGCTCATCCCCAGTGACACACTTCCTCCAGCAAGGCCACACCTCCTCATCCTTTCAAATAGTGCCACTCCCTAAGCAGTCAGATATCTCAGCATCTGGAGCCATTCTGATTCAAACCACCACAGGTGGGACCTTGCTTTGGACAATAACCACACAAGAACTCAAAGGACACCAAGAAGATACTACATAAGGGTCCAAGTTCATGTGCGGGTCACCGCTGGGCTGATGCCTACTCACAGGTAAACGTTAATTTTCCGAGGCTCCAGGGGACTTACTGGAGAGTCTGCACAGGGCTTCTGGAGTGAGTTTATCTCTAGTCTACGTGGGAACTCAGAATGAACCTTCGGGGTTGACAAGATGGCTAAGTGGCTAACGATGCTTGCTGGGCGAGTCTAGTGACTTGTGTTCAATTCTCAGAATCCATGTCGAGCTGGAAGAAAAGAACTGACTCCACAAAGTTGTCCTCTGACTTCTACACATGTGCTGTGGTGTGGGCACGCTCCTCAGTAATAACAAAAATAACACGGTTATATGGTTTATAACATTACTGTAGTTGAAGATATTTTAATGAAAAAAAAATCTAACCATGTTGAAAATAAGAAAAGCAGTGTGGTAGATTCTCACATTCCCATCACCAAGCTTAAGAATCCCCAGCATGCACCTGTTCTTGTTTCCTGTGGACATCACTAGCTGTTTCCTGGACCTTTCACTTTCTGATATTTGTCTGTGTGTGTGTGTGTGGGGGGGTCCTTTCACAGTAACAATTTAAAACTTTGTTTTCAGAACCAAATGGATATGAATTAAAATGAAAAATCATATTAATGTAAGGCATAAGATACTAGTAAATAACCACTTTACCACTTTGAGGCCAAGACTATAGCCATTTATTTATTTGTTTGTTTATTTATATGCCTATACTTCCTTTCCACTTCCAGATTGGGTGAAGCAATGCAAGGCATAGCTCAGAACGGACTGGACCTCACCTGGGGGCTGTTCTTGCACCTGAGTAGTGAGCAACAAGTGATGGTTGGTACAGCTGCAGAGATCATGGTCCCCAAGGCCTGATCCCTGGACCCCCAGCATCAGTGCCACCCAGGAACCTGCTAGAGCTGAGAACGCTCAGCCTCCACCTGCAGTCTCCTGCCATGGTCCATTTTGTGTGGCTGCAATAAAGTACATGATGCCGGGTGATAGATAAAGAAGAGTGGCTAGTCCAGGTCATGATACGGTGGCTGAGAAGGTCACACAGCATGGCGTTGCTGTCTGCAAAGGGTCCCTTGACCATATCACAAGTATGATGGAAAAACACCAGGAGGAAGTGTGTGTGAAAGACTCAGGGGGAGGTGTGACGCTTGCGTCAGAACAGCCTGTTCTTGCAGGAACCAGGGTAAGAACTCACTCCTGTGAGAGAAGCATTTTTGTCTCAATGACTCGAAAGCATCCCAACACATGCACTGGGCATCCAGGCTCAACATGAGAGTTTTTGTTTTTGTTTTTAAAAAATAGTGTGTGTGTGTGTGTGTGTGTGTGTGTGTGTGTGTGAGAGAGAGAGAGAGAGAGAGAGAGAGAGAGAGACAGAGAGAGAGACAGAGAGAGAGACAGAGAGACAGAGAGACAGAGAGATGGGGAGACAGAGACAGAGAGATTAGCTGCCGGTCTTTGCCTCCTATCTTGTCTGAAACAGGGTCCTGTTGTTCACCACTGCACATGCTGGGCTAGCTGGCCCACAAACTTCCTGGGAGTCTCGTGTCTGTGCCTCCCATCTCCCTGTAGGAATGCTTGGATTATAGACACACTCATTACCACATCCAGCTTTTAAAAAATGATTTATCTTTATTATTTTTTAAAAATAATATGTCTCTGTGTGTGTAGGTAGTGCTGGTGTCCAAGGAGGACAGAGGTGTCACGTCAGGTCCCTCTGGAGCTGGAGTTACAGATGGCAGTGAGCCACTCCACATGGGTGCTGGGAACTGAACTTGAGTCCTCTGCAAGAGCAGTCCGTGCTCTTAACTGCGGAGTCAGCTCCTCCAGCCCCATGTCCAGCTTCTTAGTGTGACTTTGGGGATCAGAACTCACGTCCTTATGCTTGTGAGGCAGGTGCTTTACCTACTGAGCCAGCTCCGCAGCCCCGCCCTACTTTTTCTAAAGCCCACACTCTCTGTTCAACATGGAAATAAGGAAATACGATGAGGGATGTGCAGGCAAGTGGACAGATCAGTTTCTCACGGACTCTGAAATCTTTCTGGGATTCATATCTGATTCATCTACAAAGCCTTGAAGTGGTTAGGCGCACTGAAGCATCTGATTCTCTTTGATATGAGATCTCCAGGCATTTCCCACGAGCAGTGAAGATGCCTGAAATGGCCACTTTCCAGCTTGGCAGAAATTGGAAATAGAGTTATCTGAGGTAGGGGCAGGACTGGAGACTGAATATCTAAACTCTACTTTGATCTCCAAATTGGTTTCAAAGATCACAGTAATGGACTGATTCTTCCCTGATGACACGCTGGTTGTCGCAGTAATGGGAATGGACAGCAAAATATTGCAACACTGGAGTCTTATAAAATCCTAGCAAATAAACACGCTAAGTGGGACCCGTGAGCATGATATTATAGGACAGAAGAGTCTTGGAGACCCTGTAAGCCCAACTCTCCTTTTTCCAGAACCCCGAGAGGTGACAGATACTAAAGGGGACAATGGCGGCATAGGGGAGCCAAGGACCGTGTGTCCTCAATCTGGCGACTACTCACGGGGGCTCTGGAGGACACAAAGAGCACCAGTAAAGAGGAGAAGAAGAACTAAGAAGAAATCCAGGAGGCCAGAGCCCACAGCCAGAGCCCACAGCCAGAGCACGGCCCCAGCACAGGAAGAAGTGACACTTGGCACGGAAACCACGTGGGCTGTCCTCCCCAGCACAGGAGGCAGAGTAGATTGGTCTCTAGAGATCACACTGATGGGTTCTTGGATTAAGAGTCTTCTAGCTATTGTTCACTCCAGTTACCTAAGCCCATGAAACCAAGCCTGCCAGTTGACTTGGCTGAAGCGGCCGGAGTTGCCTCCTTCCTGACTGTAGCATTGAGGACGAACATTACATTATGTTGATTCGAGAGTTACTCTGACTTTTATAGACAGGGATTCAGTGTTTTACAACTGCATAGTCTCGGTTCCTTCCAAAACTCCCTGGTGTTACCCTGAGGTAGTCAAATCCTTCCAGCCCTTCCTGCGGGCCACTGCTCATCTGCTGTCTGTACGTTCTCTGTTTACCCAGCAGACAATCATGCCTTCTGCTCTCCTTTACAGCCCATTTACCTCTGATTTCTTTTTCTTTCTGCCAGAACTCCCAGGACGGAGTGAGCTGGAGTGGTGTGCGGTTTGCTGTGGACGGACCTGAGATGTTACGCTCAGCAGTAGCTGGCCTTTTCATGCTTGTCTTGTAGATCTTTTTCAAAACAGTGAAGGAAGTCCACTCCTTTTATAGTTTGCGTTTGTTCTTTTTTCTTCCTTAACCAAGAAAGAATGTTGAAGTGTGTGTGTGTGTGTGTGTGTGTGTGTGTGTGTGTGTGTGTGCGTGTGCGCGTGCACGCGAATATATGCTAAGTATGTGTGGTTACTCTCATCTTTTAGCGTATCAGAGGCCAAAAGAGAGTGTCAGATCCCCTGGAGTTATAGGTAATTGTGAGCCTGTATGAGTGCTAGGAACCAAACTCAGGTCCTCTGGGAGAGCATCAAGTGCTCTTAACGGCTGAGAATCCCCCTAACACCATTTTCCTTCCTTCCTTCCTTCCTTCCTTCCTTCCTTCCTTCCTTTCTTTCTTTCTTTCTTTCTTTCTTTTCTTTCTTTCTTCTTTCTTTCTTTCTTTCTCTATCTCTCTATCTCTCTATTTATTTATTGTTTTGGGTTTTTTGGTTTTTCAAGACAGGGTTTCTCTGTGTAGTTTTGGTGCCTGTCCTGGATCTCACTCTGTAGACCAGGCTGGCCTTGAACTCACAGAGATCTGCCTGGCTCTGCCTCCTGAGTGCTGGCAATAAAGGGGTGCACCACCATTGCCCAATCCATTTTTGCTTTATTGAGACAAAATTCACACACTATAACATAGTGCCTCACTTTAAAGTGTATAGTTCACAGACATACATGCAGGCAAAACATTTACACACATAAAATAAAAAATAAAATAAAGTGTACAACTCTGGGTTTGATTTGCGGAGTTGCACAATGAACATTAATGTATAATTTTAAGATACCTTCATCATTCTTCAAAGAAATCTCATGCTCATCAATACTCTAGCTCTGCTCCTCTACCCCTGGGGAACTACTAATCTATTCTTTAGGCATTTCTTATAAACGACTGTGTGGCTTTTGATCATTGGCTTCTTCGTGTTTTCAAGGGTCACTCACACTGTATTATACATCAGTACTTCATTTTTTTATTTGTGTGTGTGTGTTTGTGTAGGTCAGAGAACAATTTGTGAGAATCAGTTGTTACTTCTACCACGTTGGACCTGGGGGTTGAATTCAGATGTCAGACTTGGAGGCCAGCACCTTGGCCACTGAGTCATCTCACCTACCCTGTGGAAGACTTCATCTTTAACTGGCTGATTATTTAGAAGTTTGTTGTTTCATTTCCATGTATTGTTCAGCTCTAAATACTTGAGAAGCTTCCAGGTTCCTGTTACTGATTTTCATTTAAATTCTGTTGTTTGGAAAAAACCCTGCGTATCTGGTTGTAATTATAGTACATTTGTTAAAGTCTGCTATCCAGCCCAGGGCATGGCTTATCTTGGTGACTGCTTCACAGGCACTCAAAAAAGAACCAGTTTTCTGCAGCTGTTGTACAGGGACTGGGACAGGTCAGCTTAGCCTTTTTTTCCCCCATCAAGCACCTTGCGGGGATACTAAGTCTTCAAGTACACTTGTGGGTAATTCTGTTTCTCCATTCAGTACACTTTGGTCTTTGTTTGTTTGCTGTTTGTCCACCCCCCCCCCCCAAGACACTGTCTTAACCATGTAGCCCTAGCTGGGAACTCACTCTGTAGACCAGGCTGACCTTGAAATCACAGAGATTCACCTGCCTCTGCCTCCTGAGTGCTGGGATTAAAGGCGTGCGCCACCAATACCCTGTGAGACCCTGTTTTTTAAAAAAAGAGAGAACAATACCCCAGACATGACAGTTAAGGTTGTTCTCTACATACAGGCATACACATATGTACACCAACACACTCTCCCACATACACACACACACACACACACACACACACACACACACACACACACACACACACACCAGAGGAAAATCTATGCATGTGATGGATGGGGGGTATATGGGGAATCTCTGTTTCTTCTATTTGTTTTTTCTGTGAACCTAAAATTGTAGAGAACAAATAGTCTATTAAAAATCTGAAACCAGAGTACCAATTTAAGTACATTGGTCTCTTATCTTATTTACGTTATGGTTGCCATACATATTACAATATGTACATTGAAATCCTCCCAGTGTTATACTTTTGGCTTCCAATAACCACATGTTTTATAGAACTTAAGAAGCTATGGCTTTGGCTCCCACAATGATCCCATGAATCAGGTAAGAACATAGAGTTCCAGTGTGTGTGTGTGTGTGTGTGTGTGTGTGTGTGTGTGTGTGTGTGTGTGTTGAGACACTCACATAGATTCTCACAACATAGCTCAGGCAGGGTTTAAACTCACAGCTGTCCTGCCTCAGCCTTGTGAGTGCTGGGTTTACAGGAACGCAATAAGATGCCTGACAAGAATCTCATTTTGGAGAGGAGGGTGACATGTCCAACGGCTTGTTTGCATCTACACAGCAGGCTAAGAGTGGAACCAAGAATCAACCTTATGATATCTTCCTTCCATAGTTGGCTTTGCTCCTCACATATGAGAGATGGCTTTGGTGTAGAGTCCGTGTGACATAGAAGGTTCTGAGCCACAACGGTGTAACTACACTACTGAGGAGAATGCTTGGGACAAAACCAGCTCTGCACACTGCAGAGCTCAATTCAAGGGAACATCTAGCCTATGGATCGAAATCACAGAGATTTTCAAGCCTTGCCGTGTTCTTTCTGCGACACATGGTGAGCTAGAAAGGGCAGCTCTTCTATCGTTCTGTGGCATCAACAGCAGACTGACCTGGGTCTAGTTTCTAAGGATTGGGTCAGTCACTACCCAGCTGACACTGCTCATGTTCCCAGCTAACAAGCAGCTCAAGTCTGCAGCCATTTACTCTGGCTAGCCTCCACTTGGGACTGGCTATTTCAAGTCACCAAAATCATCAAGATTCCAACAATAAGTGGCCAAGCACAGCGTTCATCTCTGTGAACACTCCATTTTCTTCCTCGGCGGTTTTCAAGGCTGTGTTCCTCAGAGTTTGTGAGATTTTCATTACGTGTCCAGATTTCCATGCAGTGTCCTTACAGGTCATCACGGAGAAGAGGTGAAATGGAGTTGGGGGTAGGGGTGGCATTTCTATTTCT